TAGAATCTTACTGATTTAAAAAAGTGAATCTTTTATTCCTCTGTTTTTATTCTGTTGAAGACTTCCATTTCCACTCTTCTGCAGTAGTTCTGCAAATGTCCTAAAATCTTTTTAAAAATAATCCATTCTTTCCCCTGTATGTAGATTACTGGTTGACTTGCATGTGTTTTTGGAATCTGTGTTTAAAATTTTTTTTTTTTTTTCCCTATCTTAATTGCTGAAGTTTTAAAATAAGCTCAGTATTTATTAGGTACAGTGAATTCTTATTATCCCACCTGCTCTCCAGATTTTGTTTCAAGTGAGTTTTATTTTTGAAATAAAGTTTGGGCCAGCACCGCAGTTCACTAGGCTAATCCTCCGTCTGTGGCGCCGGCACCCCGGGTTCTAGTCCCAGTCGGGGCACCAGATTCTGTCCCGGTTGCTCCTCTTCCAGTCCAGCTCTCTGCTGTGGCCCAGGAAGGCAGTGGAGGATGGCACAAGCGTGGGAGACCAGGAGGCAACACCTGGCTCCTGGCTTTGGATTGGCACAGCGTGCCGGCTGTAGCGGCCATTTGGGGGGTGAACCAATGGAAAAGGAAGACTTTTCTCTCTGTCACTCTTTCTCACCATCTAACTCTGCCTGTCAAAAAAAAAAAAAGTTTAATTTTGTTAAAATTAACCTCTTCAGTTGAACATGTACATACACTCTTAGTATTTTGGCAGGATCCCAAAGTACAGGTTAATTTTAGGGCCATGTTGAACATTTTTTAAAAAATATTTATTATTTGAAAATCAGTTAGAAGGAGAGATCCGCTTGTTCTCTTCTCAAATGGCTGCAACGGCTAGGGCTGGGCCAGGCTGAATCCAGGAGCCAGGAGCTTCTTCCTAGTCTTCTACATGGGTGTAGGGGCCCAAGCACTTGGGCCATTCTCTTCTGCTTTCCCAAGTCACATTAACAGGTAGCTGGACCAGAAATGAAGCAGATGGGAGTCGAACTAGTGCCCATATAGGACAGCGGTTTTACCCACTGCTTGTAGTGGAAAAATGCTAGCAATAAAAGTATATATCTAGAGCTATGTTTCCTCTTAAAGTTTGTGAAAAATATTCACCCAGTGTTAATGCTAATGTTTATAGTGTAAATGTTATGGGGGAAACATATAAACACTGATTTTTAGAATAAGGATAAAGACTTTTAGTGTTCTAAAGAGTAGAATTTTTTTGTGTTTTGGAGTTCTGATTTGAACTGATCCACTGTTTGAGTTTCACTAAAACTATTAAATTTGAAAAACTTTAAACTCAGAAGTGTTGAAGGTCTAGAAAATGTTAGTAAAAGTTGAAAATATGACTACTTCTGATGGCAAGAGATGTTTTAATACTCATGAACTTGGAAGTAATGTTTCTGAAATATTAGAAAACAGCAAAGGTAGGGATGGGCATTTAACCTAGTGACTAAGACACTGATTGAGTTTTAAGACACCTTTGTCCCACATTGGAGTATGTGGGATTTGATAACCAGCTCTTGCTGCTGCTTTCAGGTTCCTGCTTATGCAGACACTACAAGGCAATTGTGATGGCTTAAGTGGTTGGATTTCTTTCTTTTTTATGATATTTATTTTCATCTGTCTGAAAGGCAGACTGACACAGACACCTTCATCCACTGGTTTGCTCTGCAGAAAGCCTGCAACAGCCAGGGCTGGATGGGAACTCTGGGTCTCTGAGTAGCAAGGGCTGCCTCCCTGGGTGCATTAGTGGAAATCTGCATAAGATACATGGTTGGGGGGCAGGTGCTGTGGTGTAGCATCCCATATAGGTGTTAGTTCAAGTCCTGGCTGCTCCACTTCGATTCAGCTCTCTGCAGTGACCTGAGAAAACAGTAGAAGATGACCCAAGTGCTTGGGCCCCTGCACCGCTGTAGGAGGTGTGGAAGAAGCTCCTGGCTTCGGATTGGCCTAGCTCCAGCCGTTGAGGTCATTTGGGGAGTGAACCAGCGATTGGAAGACCTCTCCTTCTGCCTCTCCCTCTCTATAATGCTGCCTTTCAAATAAATAAATAAATCTTCAAAGAAAAAAGAAACATAGGTGGAACTTGAACCTGTGCTGCAAAATTAGATGCCTTTGGTGGCATCCCAAGTAGTGGCTTAACCTTTCGTGCTATAGTATCCGCCCCAAGTGGTTAGAATTCTTGTGCTGCCAGCTTGGGAGAATTGGATTGAGTTCCCAGGTCTTGGTTTCAGCCCCAGCCTAGCCCTGTCTGCTGTGGGCATTTGAGATCTCTTTTTTCTCTGATATATTAAGTTTATTTAAAAAGTTTTAAAAATGGCATGAGATGATATAATATAGATTTACTGATAATATAACTATTTAACTGCTTTCCAAAATAATTACTGAAAGTGAATTATGTACTATTAGAAATGGAGACTCTGGCCAGGAAGTCATTATTACAGAATGCTTAGATAATCAGAGCCTGAAGTTGAGTGGCAGTCTTAATTTTTAAATTGTGAGGAAAGAGTTATTTAAAAAAAAAATCTATGGAATTGTAAGCATTTTTTTTTTTAAATGAAGTTTTAGATTCAGAGTTAAAAGAAGGAGACTTTCCATTTGCTGGTTCACTCCCCAAGTGGCCTCAGCGACCAGGACTGGGCCAGGCCAAAGCCAGGAGCAAGGAGCCAGAAGCTTCATTTGAGTCTCTTCCTACATGAGTACAGGGGCCCAAGCACTTGGGCCATCCTCCATTGCTTTCCTAGGCACATTATGAGGGAGCTGGATTGGAAGTGGAGCAGCCAGCTAAGCAATAACACAGTCCCCCGGAACAACATTCTTGAAGAGAGGCGATATCCTGAGTAGTTTTTGGCATCACATTTGTATATTTTGCATAGAAATGTGCCATAACACACAAGTAAATTAGCCAATAAGCAGTTGAGCTAGAGAAGAGAACAAGGTTAGATTACAGAAGAATATAGTTAAGTAGGAAATGTTGGGGGAGGCCACTAAGACTTTAGATTTACGAATTACCTGCATTAGGTAGTTGGTGATTTTAAGTTATTAATGAAAATAAAATGACAGGGCTTAACTTAACCCCGTCTTCTCCAAGACTGACTTTCTTTAATTCTAAAGATTATATGGAGTTTGAGTCCTGATTTGCTTGGTTTTGGGTGTTTACACTGCCCATTATGTTTCATAGACTTAATTTGTTGAAAACAATTTCTGACACATTGTAAACATTTAAGTATTGTTGCTTTTAAAAAGTGTTTCTGTGGAGGCCGGCCTGTGACACAATGGGTTAATGCCCTGGCCTGAAGTGCTGGCATTCCATATGGGTGCCTGTTCAAGGCCTGGCTGCTCCACTTCTGATCCAGCTCTCTGCTATTGCCTGGGAAAGCAGTAGAAGATGGCCCAAGTCCTTGGGCCCCTGCACCCACGTGGGAGACCCGGAAGAAGCTCCTGGCTTCGGATCAGCGCAACTGCAGCTGTTGCGGCCAACTGGGGAGTGAACCATCGGATGGAATACCTTTCTCTGTTTCTCTCTCTCTGTGTAACTCCTACTTTCAAATAAATAAGTCTTAAAAAAAAAAAAAAAAGTGTTTCTGTGGCTGGTACTGCGGCTTAGCAGGTTCTGCAATGCCCAGCAACTCATGGGCACTGGTTCCTGTCCCTGCTGCTCCAGTTCAAATCCAGCTTGCTGCTGATCTGCTGGGAAAGCTGTGGAAAAAGTCCCAAGTCCTTGGGACTTTTGCACCATGTGGGAGACCTGGATGAAGTTTCTTGCTCCTGGCTTTGGTGTGGCTGTTATGACCTTTGGGAAGTGAACCAGCAGATGAAAGATTTCTGTGTTTGCCTCTTCCTCTCCCCGTCTGTAACCTCTCAAATATATAAATCTTTCAAGGAAAAAGTGTTTCTTGATTACTATGATTCAAAGTGTGTTAGTACATTTGACTAAGGTTGAGGAATTTATGGTTCTGATGGACAGTGTCATTTAATATTAACTAAAATTATACAAATGCCAAGGACTGCTTGCTCAAGGTTATAAATTGATGTAGTGAGTGCTTGATCAACTGTATATACCTACCTCCTTTACTCTTTCTTGAATATGTTAAGTCTGTGGTTTCTTTGAGTACTAATTAAATGGAGATACAGTAAAAAGGTTAATTTTATAATTTTAAGTTTGGAAAATGACCACTAGTTTTTATTGAGAGTCTTCTAAAATGGTCCTAGGGCACTGTACTCAACTGCAACACAACTTTTCTTTAAGTCAGTGGTGGGGAATGTCTGGCCACAGGTTGTATACAGCCTGCAGTTTTGCTCTGGCCCTACTAAGGCAACTGCAAGTGGGACTTGAAATTCATTAGAACTATGGCAGGCTAATTCTACACAATTTTGGATGGCTGGTGGATGACATTAGAAATATCCAAAGGGCCCTTGGCCAAAAAAACGGTTCCCCACCCCTGCATTAAGGGAGAGGTGAGAGAGGTAGATAGGTAAAACGATTAAGTTAATGACAAAGATAGCATTTAAAATGAACTAATGCATGTTACTACAGATGGGCTATAACTTAATATTTATAACATAATAAAGTTGAATTCTTAATGGGTGCCAGATACTGTGAAGCATGCATTATTTTCTCATAATTCCATGATGTTGGATACCTTAATTCCATTAGGCTAAAAATGTGCTCCAGAACATAAAACTGATTGAACTAGGATGTGAATCCTGGCAGCCAGATACTAGAGCTTGAGTCTCTAGTCACAATACTAAACACTGCCTACTCAGCTAATTGCTATGATATATTCCAGGGATGTACAATGATGTAGGTGATATCAATGAAAAACGAGTTTTAGAGGAGTTAAAATAACTTATGAGGTCATATGTCTTGTAATGGTTGAGAGGGAAATTAAACCCAAGTCTGCCTTGATTCCAAACCCTGTGTTCTTTGACTGCTTCTAGTGTCTTCCATTTCTTATACTGCTTTTTAGAAGTATAGAATGTTTAATGTTGATAAGCTTTAAATGTTTTTGTTTATTGCAGGGATTTATCAAAGATGTTCATGAAGACTCCCTCACCGTTGTTTTTGAAAATAAGTAAGTTATTTTTTATTGACAGATCTTAATTTTAAATATTGGTGGTACCAGATTGTTTTTGCTTTTGAGTGCACATGCTTTGAGTTCAGGAAGTCTAGTTTTGATACCTTTACTTTTGCCCACAGTTTACTCATCACTTTTCATGACGCTGCTCTTTTTTGCCAAAACATAAATTCAGAGTAAGTAAATAGTTCTGACAGAAATAGATGGCACAAATGAGATTATAATCTTTCAGTTTTGGAAGTCCAGAATGGTGAAATGATAACTTTAGAAGGCTTTCCAAATGACTGTGGTAGTCAGATTAAAGTATTAGGCCATCTTTAATTGCTTGATATTAATGAGGACTCATACCAGTTTCAGAGTTATTACAAGGGCTAGGGAGTTTATTCTTAAATTTTTAAAAAAGTGTTTGAAAGGTGGAGTGACAGAGAAAGAAATCTTCCATCTGCTAGTTCAGTCCCGAAATGGTGCAACAGCCAGGAATGGGAGAGGGCAAAGCCATGGTCCAGGAACTCCATTGTGGTCTCCCATGTGGGTTGCAGGGGCCCAGGTACTTAAGACTATCCTCTGCTGTTCTCCCATCTGCATTAGCAGGCAGGTAAATCAGAAGTGGAGCAGCTGGGGCTCAATCCTGTGCTCAAATGTGGGGTGTTGGAGCCTTAACCTGCTGTGCTGCAACATCCATCCAAGGCACTAGGTAGTTTAAAAGTGGGATTGTTGATGAAGGGTTAATTGACAGAACTATTTGACTTCTGTTTCTAAGGTGCTTCTGTAACTGGCTGAAAAGATAAGGTCTCAACCAACAGCTGCTTCACATAGAAACGAGTGTTGAGATTTCTATGTTTGAGCAGCTGTCATTTATAAAGGAAGGGTTGAAAAGCACCCCAAAATGTTTTGCTTGGTCAGCTGCTGTTCTGATCAACGTTGGCAGATAGAATCCCTAGGAACATTTTATGTGCTAGTATGCCTCCCAGACATATACCTGTTGAGAACTTAAGAGCAGGGAATAATTTTTCACTTTACAAGTTTATCTCATCCATGAAAAATGTCAGCTAATCAAAAGCTAAATTAGTAGTAGTTTAATACCTTTCATTTTGCTACAAAGATTTAAAAAGTTTCCTAGGTTCTAATTATAATGCATATATTCACTGTAGAACAGATAAATCGGTAAATGAGAAAATGAAATCTTGTAATTTATTCAAAATCCGAGCAGTTGCTGATTTATTTCTGTGAGCATATTTAAAGGAATTATGCAGATAATGTTTTATAATCTATTGTATTTCCTTTTTGACAGGTTGTAAATGTATTTGAAATAAATTGATCCTACTATTTGGTTATGTAGATGAAACATTTCAGATCTTAAATTAGTCATTGCTGTGAACTTAGCTTATTTCATTTGCAGAGAAATATTTGTACTGTTCTTAGGATGAGTGATTTGGAAGGTAATGTTTTCAGTGATAATTATTTATGAACTTAAAGAGTCATAGGAAAATCTGTTCTACCTTGTAACTAATTACTTGGGAACTTAATGTACTATAAAGGATGTTTTTCTTCTCTTTAGGAAGGTTAAATGATAAGCTAACTTGAAAAATACATAGCATTAAACATAGTCTATAATAGCTCCCAAATAATGGCTATTTCAATTGTATATTTTAAAACTATCAATTCCTTTTCTAATCCTTCAGTTGGCAACCAGAGCGCCAGGTTCCATTTAATGAAGTTAGATTACCACCACCGCCTGATATAAAAAAAGAAATTAGCGAAGGAGATGAAGTAGAGGTATGTGTGTTTATTTTCTTGGGTCCTGTTTCAAATAAATATTCATATAGCAAAATCTGTTCAGCTGATAAATCTAATTGCTTGTCTCTTTTTCTATTGATAATGGCTGTGTAATGCAACATTGCTTGAGTTTTGGAGTCAGAATAGGATTCATGTTTTAACTGTACCATTTTTAGCTTTGTGGATTTCAAGGTTACTAATAAAATGAAAATAATTAGTTAAGGGAGCTAGTACAGTGTTGTCACTATTCTGCTAATTTTCATGAAATAGTTGCTGTAAAGTTTGTTTAGGGATTCTTTAGTATGTTTTAAAACATACTAAATTAAAGGATAACACTGATAGTTATCCTTTATTATAGTGATCACTAATACTGTTCATAGGTAGTGTGAAATGTGATTACAGGGCTGCTTTATAGAACATGTTAGAATATTCTAGAAGTGTCTGGAAAAATTTAAAAGTACAGAAGAGCAAAAAGAGAACTGCAAAATTCTTGCTTAAAGATGGAAAATCACTCTTGTCGATTCTAAGCCTCTCCCTAGCCATCTCCTTCCCCTTCCCCTAATAAAATGGGATTATATTGCACTTTTCTTTTTGTTCTTTTCATACTTAGAAGATCTTGGATTTCTATCTGCAGTATATTTTTGATTAATAAGACTGTTGTTAGTAAAAAGAAACTTGAGTATAATTGTCAAATAGAAGTGCAATGATGAACTTGATGGGTATAGAAAATCCAGTTTTTGAAATTGAAAGCATTCTTTCTAGAGCCTTAAATATGCCAAATACATTTTTCATAGGAAGTCAGCTTGATACTATTGAATGAGATTTTCAGGTCTTATTTATAATTAATTTAAATGACTGAGGTAGGAGAAGTGGTGGTGTAATAGAACTTTACTGATGAAAAGCTATCTCTAAATGGTTTCGCAAACACTTAACAGTACATATTCTGTGCTAGACACTGTTCTAAGCACCTGATGTGATTTATCTGCCAGTTTCATTTGTTGTCTTTTGTTCTAATGATAAATTCTCTCTTTTTTTTTTTTAAATGTATTTTTTATTTATTTGAAAGTCAGAGTTACACGGGCGGGGGGGGGTCTTCATCAGATGGTTCACTCCCCAAATGACAGCAACAGCTGGAGCTGTGCTGATCTGAAGCCAGGAGCCAGGAGCTTCTTCCAGGTCTCCCACGTGGATGCAGGGGCCCAAGGACTTGGGCCATCTTCTACTGCTTTCCCAGGCAATAGCAGAGAGCTGGATGAGAAGTGGAGCGGCCGGGACTTGAACCAGCGCCCATTTGGGATGCCAGCACTTCAGGCCAGGGCGTTAACTTGCTGTGCCACAGCGCCGGCCCCCTAATGATAAATTTTCTTTTGGCTCCTATTCTTAGAAATTATGCTAGGAAGCCAAATAATTACAGTGCTTTAACCCCTGATAGCCTAAACTTCCCCTTTAAAATTCTGCTTAGATTTTAATTATTATTATTATTATTATTATTATAAGTTAATTCACTGTGCACCATATTGCTTTTGCTAAAGCAAAGTATGTTGTAACTTGTGTCAGGACACCATGAACCCACCCTTTTGTGTTACAACATTATACAACATTCAACATTCACTTTTACTTTTTCTTTTATAGTTTACTTTCAACAAAAGTAGATACTAAGAATTTTTTTACTAGGGGACCTGTAACTGTGGTCTAGATGGGTGTGTGTTAATGTTCTTGAGGGAGCTATTGCTGGTGGTATGGGGGAGACTCAGTGGTGAAGTAACTATTACTACTCAAGAAGTATGGAGTAGGGTACTAGATTTTGACAGTGACCCTCTGAATTACTGTAGCACATTCACTTGGATTTTAGATTCCTATGAAAACGTTTTCCTGGTGTTGTGGCACAGCAGGTAAAGCTGCTGCCACTGACCTTAGCATCCCATAAGGGCGCCAGTTCATGTCCCGGCTGCTCAATTTCCGATCAGCTGTCTGCTAACGTTAGCGTGGGAAGAGCAGTGGAATATGGCCCAGGTGCTTGGGCCCCCCACCACTCACATGGGAGACCCAGATAACAGCTGTTGAGGCCTTCTGTGAAGTGAACCAGTGAATGGAAGAGCAACTGATTGATCTGTTTCTCTCTTCCTTTCTGTCTCCCTCCCTCCCTCTCTTTGTAACTCTCAAATAAATAAAAAAAAAAAGTTTTTCTCAATATTGCAACCTTTTCTAATTAACATCTTTCTGTGTGGGTGGGTAAAGGAGCTTGATTTTTTTTTTTTTTTTCAAAATTAATTTCTGTTGGAGGTTTTTTCTTTTGGAATTCTGAGTTAAGCAAGAGTCAGGCTAAACAAGATTTAGGTTTGGAAGTGTTCTAGAATTAGAAATGTGTGGTGTTAAATTTGGAGGGCAACATTTTTTGTTGTTGCTCATTTATAAGTAGCATAAAGTTTCAGATTAAAGGAAGAAACTAGTCAGTAGGTGCTAATGGTATTTCAGTATGTTCTTAGGTTCTGCCCTGTTCTGAACCTTTCATTTCTGTGGCCCACCTCCTGACTGATCAAAACTTTGATGTTAGAGATTGATTTAGAATTGATGATTCAAAAGTAGCATTTATATAAAAATTTTATGATTTAGTTTTGGGAAAATTTGTTCTTTCCAGTTTTGTACATCATTCTCTGAAATCAAGTTACATGTACTTTTTGGCTTTTGAAGATTTGAGGAAAAGAACTTTGGGGCCAGTGTTGTGGTGCAGTGGGGTTAAGCTGCTGTTTGCGATGCCAGCATCCCATACAGCAGTGCTTGTTCAAGTCCTGGCTGTTCTAGCTGCTTTGCTATGATCCACCTTTGTGCTAGTGTGCTTGGGAAAGCAGCAGAAGATGGCCCCTGTCATCCTCCATGGGAGACCTTAATGGAGTTCTGCGCTCCTGGCTTGAACTTGGACCAGCCCTGGCTGTTGAAGTCATTTGGGGGAGTGAACCAAAGGGTGGAAGATTCTCTCTCTCTCTCTCTCTTTCATTTTCTTTCTCTCTCTCTTTTCTCTGTCACTCTACCTTTCAAATAAATAAGTAAATCTTAAAAATAAAAGTTTAAGCTGCATCTTGATTGGTTTGTTATGATGATGGTGGTTTTTTTGGTCACCAGTTTTTAGGAACCTATCCATATAATGTATTTCAAAATTATAGTTATTAGTGCTTCACTTTTTGAACCAAGTAACTTTCTAAGTCTCCTTCTCCCTTTAAATAAAGCTTAATGTAAAAATGAATTGATAGACTTTATAATGTAGTAAGTTAACCTTCTCCCTTAGCGTGGCTGTGCTTGTCCGTTATTGCCAACTTAAATCTCATTTCCCAAAGTTGAGTGTTCAGATTTTTCTTTTTATTGAGTATATATTTTCTTAAAGTTTTTAAGTCGGAACTACATTATATATCATATATTTACTCCCCAAATGCCTACAGAAGGACCAGAGCTGGGCCAGGCCAAAGCCAGAAGCCTGAAACTCAGTCTCTGTCTCCCATGTGAGTGGCATGAACCAAATTACTTGAGCCATCAGTGCTGCTTCCTAAGGTTTCGAGTAGTAGAAAGCTGGGTTTTGGAACCTGAACCAGGAATCCAACCCAGGCATTCAGGCGAGAGATGCAGGCATCTCCCCCTCACCCCCGCCCCAAAGATTGATTTATTTATTTATTGGAGAGGCAGAGAGATGGGTTTGATCTGCTGGTTCACTCACAAAATGGCTGGAGCTGGGCCGATCCGAAGCCAGGAGCTTCTTCCAGGTCTCCTACGTGGGTACAGGGACCCAAGGACTTGGGGTATCTTTTTTTTTTTTTAAAAGATTCATTTATTAGAGTTACACAGAGGAGAGGCAGAGAGAGAGAAGTCTTTCATCTGCTGGTTCACTCCCCAGTTGGCTGCAATGGCCAGAGCTGCACTTATCCAAAGCCAGGAGCCTCCTCTGGGTCTCCCATGTGGGTGCAGGACCCAGGGACTTGGGCCATCTTCTGCTGCTTTCCCAGGCCACAGCAGAGCGCTGAATCAGAAGTGGAGCATCTGGGACTTGAACTGGCACCCACATAGGATATTGGCATTGCAGGTGGCGGCCTTATCTGCTATGCACAGTGCCCACCCACCCCCCAAGTTCGTAATACTTCTGCAAGTACAGGGTTTTTATTTTAAGTATTTAGGTTTTTAATTGAGTTTGCTGTCTTTCTCTAGGGTAATATATTACACAGTATATTATTTATCATTTTTGATGTATCAAATTATTTAAGTTATCAGATACTGCTTTCTGTTAGCATATTCTCCCCACCCCCCCAAGATTTCTTTATTTAAAAATTAGTTAATGGCAGCGATGGGGGGAGGATTAGAGAGAGAATTGATCCGCTGTCTGCTGGTTCACTCCTCAAACAGCTGCCATGGCTGGGCCTAGGCCAGGCCAAATCCAGGATTCATGAATTCCATCCAGGTCTGCCACCTGGGTGCAGGGGCTCAAGCACTTGGGTCATCATCTGCATTCTCAGGAGTGGTATCAGGGACCTAGATCAGAAGTTGAACAGCCGGGACCAACATTCCAATTTGGGATGTCTTTGTTGTAGGTGATGATTTAACCTGCTGTGCCACAAAGCTGGCCCCAAGTCACATTTTTTTTTTTTTTAAGATGTATTTACTTATTTGAAAGGCGGAGTTATAGAGTGAGAGGAAGAGATAGACAAAGAGAGGCCTTCCATCTGCTGGTTCAATCCCCAAATTGTGGCAACATCTGGGACTGGGCAAGGCTGGAGCCTGGAGACCCAAGCTTCATCCTGCTCTCCCATATGGGTGTTAGGGGACCCCAGCACTTGGGCCATTTTTTGCTGCTTTCCCAGGTACATTACCAGGGAGCTGGTTGGAATCACATGGTATGTCGATATCATATCCTCCAGCTTACTCTGCTGTGCCACCGCACCAGACCTGTAATTTGTGAATACTCTGATAGCAGTAACAGTAGCTGAAACTTGGGGCTGCGCTTTGGCACAACTGGTTAAAATCCTGACCTGAGGTGCCAGTATCCTACATAGGCACCAGTTCGAGTCCCCGCTGCTCCACTTTCAATCCAGCTCCCTGTTGATATGCCTGGGAAAACAGTGAAAGATGGCCCAAGTCTTTGGGCTGCTGAACTCATGTGGGAGTCCCAGAGGCAGCTCCTGGCTCCTGGCATTGGATCTGCTCAGCTCTGGCAGTTGTGGCCATTCTGAGAGTGAACCAGTGAATGAAAGATGCCCATGACATTGGTTCCAGAGGGGCCCTCCCCCCACCCAAATCACCTATTAAATGATATGATGTTTGGTTATAATCTCTGCAGTCCTCCCTTATGCTTTTAAATCATTTCTAAATTGCTTATATTTGATATAATGAAAATGCTATGTAAGTAGTTACATTGTATTATTTAGGGAATAATGAGAAAAACTTTTTTTCTGAGTATTTTCTGTCTAATTGGGGATCCAGACAGATTGATGTACTTTATTAACTAAGTTCATATAGCAAAGAATTTGTGAAACTGATAAACAAGTTTAGTTTCTGTTCTTCTAATGTTCTCTAGTACATCAGGCTGTATTCACAGGGTTGGATCAGTTTCGTGCCAGACCTGTTTTTCAGTTCTAGAAATCCTTCTCTGAAGAAGGGAAAGGTGACTTTTATTTGGTCTTTTAGTAATAATTTTAGGGCAAAAATGATCCAAGAGGTAACTTTCTGTTGAGGTCTTCGTGCATTTTTAAAGAGTTGAACACTGAGATTTCTGTTTTTGTTGTTCAAGAATGGTTGAATATTAGCAGTTTCATATGGTTTGCACTACATTGTGTTTTCAAAATTTTTTGGCTATTTGAATACTAGATTTGCTTTCCCAATCAGCTTCCCAGACTTACATGATGTTACATCACATAAATCAGTGGAATGATTTGGTAGTGGTCTCAAGAAAAAGACACTGTATGATGAATGTTGCTTTTGAAAAGATCTGAAATGGAAATACTTATTTTCAGACCTTTAAATAGTTGCTATGTCACTTTTCAAAAGTGATGGCAAATCTTTTAAAATTAGTAATATTTAATCTTTTTGGTAATAATTTTGTTGAATAAGATTGCTGAGAAAATTGGGAGGGAGGGGGGATGAGGGATAGTATCACTATGTTCCTGAATCTGTGTATAGGAAATAGATGAAATTTATATACCTTAAATAAAATTAACAAAAAAAATTAAAAACTTTTATCTATAGGTTTATATTCTCTAAATAAGAAGTTTCAAGACTCTGAAACAAAACAATAAAAAAAAAAACAAACTGCTTATAAAAATTAAAACATTGTTGGTTCTGTTTAAATGTTTCCTCTTGTAGGCCCCAAAGGACTTTCTTCCATGACTTCTAATGTATTCCATACTTTGGGATAGCTCTGTAAACAGATAAAACTAAGAGTTTACAGGTTCCAACTAAAAGGATATGGTTAATTCAGGTTACTAAGAATAAAAAGTAATTCTAATTGGTAATTTTAAAAACAAAGATTTAAAAAAAAAACAGTGAAACTGCTTTGTTGTTCTGTCTTGTATGTATATGTGTGTTATGTATGTGCAGGTTGCATGTCTGTAAAAATTTATTAAAACTGTTTTGGCTTGTGGATAGAAAAAACTCAAATTAAGACTGCTAACTTAAATTACCTTTTTGGTGAACATGACTTAATCTCTGTTAAATACGCTGTTTTTTTAAAAAAAAGTTTGCTGAATAAAATTGCTGAGAAAATTGGCTCAGTTAGTAAAGTTGAAGGTAATCAGAAAATGAAGGGTTCTTTAGATTTGCCTAAGATGGATGTGCAATATAATATTCTAGGATATTGAAGGACCTTAAAATTCCCCATCCTTTTTAAAAAAAATTTTTTTAAAGATTTTATTTATTTGAGAGGTAGAGCTACAGATAGTGAGAGGAAGAGACAGAGAGAAAGGTCTTCCGTCCCTTGGTTCACTCCCCGAATGGCCGCAACGGCCAGAACTGCGCCAATCTGGAGCCAGGAGCCTCTTCTGGGTCTCCCATGCGGGTGCGGGGGCCCAAGCTCCCAGGCCACAGCAGAGAGCTGGATTGGAAGTGGAGCAGCCGGGACTAGAACCGGCTAGTGCCGCAGGAGGAGGATTAACCTGGTCTCCCCTGCGGGTGCAGGGGCCGAAGCACTTGGGCCATCCTCCACTGCCCTCCCGGGCCACAGCAGAGAGCTGGACTGGAAGAGGAGCAACTGTGACTAGAACTGGCGCCCATATGGGGGGAGAGGGGGAGAAGGGGAGAGGGAGAGGGAGAGAAAGATCTATCTTCTATCTCCCATGTAGATATAGGGGCCCAAGGAATTGGGCCATCTTCTCCTTTCCCCCAGGTGCATCAGCAGGGAGCTAGCTGGATCGGAAGTGGAACAGCCTGGACTGGTGGTGGCTTAACCTGCTATGCCATAACGCTGGCCACTAGGTTCTTAAGGGATCTAAATGGCATATCATTGAAGGAATTTAAAATTGGGCTTACCACTTTCTACACTTTTTAAAACATTTTTATTTCACTGTTCATAATTTTGATGAGAAAAACTGAAAGACTTGTGTTTGACATTATGTAAAGATGAGTAGTAAACAGCTTGCTTTAATATATTTGGGTTTAGTAATCCTATGAATTTGAAATTAGTTTACTAGGAGGCCACACTGCCCAAAAGTATTCAGGTTTAGGGGCTGCGTTGTGGCTGGTAAAGCCTCTGCTTGGGACACCGGCATTCCATATGATTGCTGGTTTGAGATTTGAGTTCTCAAGTCCTGACTGCTCCACTTCTGATCCAGCTCGCTGCTCATTTGCCTGGAAAAACAGCGGAGGATGGCCCAAGCACCTGGGCCCCTGCATCCACATTTGAGACCTAGAAGAAGCTCTGGGCTCCTGGCTTTGGCCTGGCCCAGCCCTGGAACTTTGTGGTTTGGGGAATGAACCAGCGAATGGAAGAGCTCTAACTCTGCATTTCAAATACATAAATAAATCTAAAATAAAACATATACAGCTTTATATTCAGCTATTAAAGTTTGAATGTGCATACTACTTTTCACTCAACTACATTGAGCAAAGTTCCAGTAAAATAACCTTTTGATTATTGAGTTTAGTGGGATTTAGCATTTATAACAAACCATCACTTAGAGTTTGAGTCTTTCCAGATGAATGGATAAAGGCATATTTCCCCTTTCTCAGGTATATTCTAGAGCAAACGACCAAGAACCATGTGGATGGTGGTTGGCTAAAGTTCGGATGATGAAAGGAGAGGTAAGTGATCTTGACATTTGCTATGTGATAGTATTAAAGGAAATAATCTCAACTCTTGGTTTTTGTAAATATTATTCCAACTGTACTTTTGTTTTTAAAAGCCTGTGAGAAATAGTTGACCAGACATCGTAAAAATTCACTAGATCATTAATTTCTGTTTGTGTTCTGTATTGGCAAACACCAAAGCTGCTCTCCAGAGGTACACCTCAAGCATGTAAGGACCACTAGGTTCATGCTTGTAAGAACCTATGTTCTAGTTTAGGTAAATTAGATTGATGTAACTAAGCTGTGCTTAATATTTGTGTCACAAAGGGGAGGGTCTGCTGGTAAAGCTGAGCAAGGTAATTAGAACTTCTTTTAAAGTTCATTATTTTTGTTCAGATGGAATTTTTGAAGTATTTTAATGTCTTTTAGTTTTATGTCATTGAATATGCTGCTTGTGATGCCACTTACAATGAAATAGTAACATTTGAACGACTTCGGCCTGTCAATCAAAATAAAACTGTCAAAAAAAATACCTTCTTTAAATGCACGGTGGATGTTCCTGAGGATTTGAGAGAGGCGTGAGTAATTTTATCTGTTATTGTATTGCTTGGTGATTAAGAGGATTTTTAAGCACTACAAAATATTTTTTCTCAGACACCTATTCAAAACCTTCTCATAGAAAATATTAAAGGTTTTGATGGGGAATGTTAAAGTTCTAAATTTGTATTGTCCTTGTAACTCTTCTAAATTTAATCTAGTACTGAGGTTTTTTTACCCATGAATTAATTTTTCTCCAGGTGTGCTAACGAAAATGCACATAAAGATTTTAAGAAAGCAGTAGGTGCGTGCAGAATTTTTTACCACCCAGAAACCACACAGCTAATGATACTGGTAAGATAACAATAACATATTTTCAGGTATTGATAAGTATTGCACAGATTTTATAGTTAGATATTTCAAAAGATAAGAGCTATGGTAAGCTTGATGTAAAGTTTTTTTTTTTTGCAATAATATTAATTTTGATTTTTTTGGAATAAGTATGGAAATAAAATTTTTTTAATATTTTATTTCAAAGATAGAGTTACAGAAAGAGGTAGAGACAGAGAGAGGTCTTCATCCGCTGATTTATTCCCCAGATGGCCGCAATGGCAGGAGCTGCGCCGATCCAAAGTCAGGAGCTTCTTCCGGGTCTCCCACGTGGGTGCAGAGGCCTAAAGACTTGGGCCATCATCTGCTGCTTTCCCAGGCCATATCAGAGAGTGGGATCAGAAAAGGAACAGCGGGACTAGAACCAGTGCCCACATGGGATGCCATTGCTTCAGGCCAGGGCGTTAACCCACTGTACCACAGCACTGGCCCTGGAAATAAAAATTCTTAAAATGATATTTTTAGTTTCCTAAAATTTGTAATGTGTGGGATCCTAGATGCTTTCATAGCCAATGCTATTTGATGTGACAAATATAAATAATGACAGGAATTTACGAAGAAAAGTAAGATTATCCAGGGAGGCAGAATGTTAGACAAACAGAGAAGTGTAGTAGTTGAAAATCAGAGCTTTGTGTTACTTTGAAAAATGGTTAACTTTTTGGTTGATTAACTTGTTTGTTTGTTACAGTCTGCCAGTGAAGCAACTGTGAAGAGAGTAAATATTTTAAGTGACATGCATTTGCGAAGTATTCGTACGAAGCTGATGCTTATGTCCAGAAATGAAGAAGCCACTAAGCATTTAGAAGTAAGTAGGTTTACTTACAAAATGATTTTTGTTTGTCCCATTTAATTTCAGAATTATATTCTCGGAGTTCCCTGTACTTGACTGATAAAAGACAGCCTAGACTTGATTTGTGGTTACACCTGGAGTGAGTGAGGCATTAAAAGAATGGCTTTTCTATTTTACTTTTATCAAATGTAGCATTTCCTTGCCAAATGCTGATTGACTTTTGTTAGGACTTAAGAACTCAGAACTGTATTGCTGTTTCTTTGCACTACCGTGTTAGTCATAACACATTTACATCAGTAATTAGTTCAGTCTACCAACTCGTTTAAGAGATTAGGAGAACAAGATATAGTATGAAGTTTTTTAAAATATTAAGTGTATCATTGCCCCATGCTATTGTTGTACTACTTTTCCCCTTGTGCTCACACTTCCCCAATGGAATACATGTGTATGCACACACAAACACACTGTCTTCACTTAGAGAAACCAAAGTATGTTTATTCTTAGGATAAATTTGCCAATGTCCTCTTTAATTTAAAACTGCCAAACAAGGAATATGTGAATGAATTTTGAAGTAAACATGAAATGGGGAAATGCCTGTATTTGCAACAAAGTGTTATGTTAGAACTACTGGTTTTTTTCTGACCATGATTAAATAGATAAAACCATTTTATCCCTTTGCATTTATACCACTAGATAAGCTTCTTCTATTCTTGTAAGATTTTTGATCTTTTTTCGCTTAAGGCTTTTTTTTTTTTTTAAGTTTTCACATTTAAAAAAAATTATAAAGTTCAGTATGTATTTCCATTGTTGGTTAACCAATTTACAGGACTTTAAGTTTTGCATCTTGAAAAATGAAAACTACCCTCTAAGTTGTAACTCTCAACTCTCTGCTCCCCATTTCTGACAACTGCCGTTTTGTAAATTTCACTGCTTCTGATGTTTCATAAGTTGGAATAACATGCTATTAGTTGTTTCTGTTATATCACTTAACATAATAGGGTTTTCAAGGCTCATTCATGTTGTTGCATGTGTTAGAATTTGCTTTTGATAATTCTTTGTATGTACAAGGGTACTTCAGAAAGTTCATGGAAAATGAAATTAAAAATTGTTGTGTTGCAGATTTCTTTAATTTTTTTTAAAGATTTATTTTATTTATTTGAAAGAGTTACAGAGAGAGGTAGAGACAGAGGTCTTCCATCTGTTGGTTCGCTCCCTAGTTGGCTGTGACAGCCAGAGCTGCGCCGATCTGAAGCCAGGAGCTTCTTCCAGGTCTCCCACGTGGGTGCATGGGCCCAAGGACTTGGGCCATCCTCTACTGCTATCACAGGCCATAGCAGAGAGTGGGATCAGAGGAGCAGCAGTTGGGACTAGAACTGGTGCCCATATGGGATGCCATTGCTTCAGGCCAGGACTTTAACCCACTGCGCCACAGCGCCGGCCCCCACTTTCTTTCTTTTTTAAAGATTTATTTATTTGGAAGGCAAGGTTATGGCTGGGGGCTGGAGGGAAGTCATGGATAGGTCTTCAGCCTGCTGTTTGCCTTCTCATATGGCTGCAATGATCAGGGCTGGGCCAGGCTGAAGCCAGGAGGCTGTAACACCATGCAGGTCTTCCATTTGGGTGGCTGGGGCCCAAGTACTTGGCTCATCTTACACTGTTTTCCCAGGTTCATTAGCAGGGAGCTGGAATGCTAGTGGAGCAGTCAGGACTTAAACTGGAAATCACATGGGATGCTGGCCTCGCAGGTGGCTTAAACCACTGTGCCACACTGGCCCCTCTTTTTTCTTCTCCTCTCTCTTCTCTCTTTTCCCTCCCCTCCCCTCGATTCTCCTCCCCTCAGATTGATTGATTGATTTGAAAGGCAGATAGGCAAAAGCAGAGAGAGAGAGAGGGAGAAAGGTCTTCCACCCACTGGTTCACTCCCCAGATGGCTGCGATGGCCAGAGCTGGGCTGATCTGGAGCCAGGAGCTTCTTCTAGGTCTTCCATGCAGGTGGGTGCAGGGGCTGAAGGACTTGGGCCAACTTCCACTGCTGTCCCAGGCCATAGCGGAGAGCTGGATCCGAAGTGGAGCAGCCGTGACTTGAATTGGCGCCCATATGTGATGCCGGTGCTGTAGGCGGCTGCTCTACCCACTGCGTCACAGCACCAGCTCCATCAGCCTCTTGACTAAATAAAGAATGTTGATATGAACATGCATTGCAAAAAACCCGATTCTGTTTTTTGATCTTTGTAATGAATTCCACTTTTCTTCTTAATAGTGCACAAAACAACTTGCAGCAGCTTTTCATGAGGAATTTGTTGTGAGAGAAGATTTAATGGGCCTGGCAATAGGAACACATGGTAGTAACATACAGCAAGCTAGGAAGGTTCCTGGAGTCACCGCTATTGAACTAGATGAAGATACTGGAACATTTAGAATCTATGGAGAGGTAAGATGTTGTCTATCTCCTTTCTTGACTGATTTTACTGTCACTTTTAACCACCTGTTGTTTGATTACATTTTATCTTGAACTTTAATTTACTAGTGAAACACTTTCGACTTAAGATTTATTCATTTAAAATCAAACTGCCCAGCAGTCATTAATTCTGAAGATGGTTTAAAGCTATTTTTGTTTTGGGGGAGTGAAAGACTTATCAAGTGACATGTAGTATTTTGAGGAGTTTTTTTTTTTTTTTAAGATTTATTTATTTATTTATTTATTTATTTATTTATTTGAAAGTCAGAGTTACACAGAGAAAGAAGGAGAGGGAGGGAGGGAGGGGTCGGTCGGTCTTCCATCCACTGGTTTACTCCCCAATTGGCCGAAATGGCTAGAGCTGTGCTGATCTGAAGCCAGGAGCTTCTTCCAGGTCTCCCACATGGGTGCCGGGGCCCAAGGACTTGGGCCATCTTCTACTGCTTTCCCAGGTCATAGCGGAAAGCTGGATTGGAAATGGAGCAGCCAGGACTCGACCCAGCACCCATATGGGATGCCAGCACTGCAGGCGACAGATTTACCCGCTATACCACAGTGCCAGAACCGAGAAGTTTCTTAAATAACTGCTTCTTAGTTTAATTCAGTTTTATATTCATTAAAATAATTTATCCAGATATTCTTTTGAATGCTTATTAAGTGTTGGGCTCTGGCAAGCAGTAACCTAAGTTCTATAAAAGTTATTATATAACTTAGGTTTGGATAGTACTTTGTCACTAGTTCTGAAATTTTCAGGGATAGAAAATGAATGTGTCATTTTAGTTATTTATCGCTTGAGAAATATCTTCTATCTACTTATTCACTCCTTACATGGCAGCAATAATCAGTGCTGAGTCAGGCTGAAGCTAGGAGCCAAGAACTTTACCTTGTTACTACCACATGGGCCTCGGGTCCAAGTATGTGGTTCATCATCTGCTGTCTTCTGAGGCGTATTAGTAGAGAGCCGACTCTACTACTCTAGTAGAGTAGCAGAGACTCAGACTTGCACCCTGATGTGGGATGTTGGTGTTGGCAAGCAATGTCATAACTTGCTGTATCACAATGCCTGCTGCTTGTAAACTATTTAAAAAATACATTATTCAGATGTTTTGTTGAGACTACCCTTTGAAATAGTATAAATGATTTTTTTGGGAACTGGTTTGGTTTCAAATCTTGACTTTAAAACATAGCTTTTATGAAAAGCTTTATTCATATAGTAAATACAACTAAAAGTATCATTTTTGTTTCTGAAATCTTTACAAGTGGGGGGAGTATAGAATGGTAATTAAGAGGACAGTCTTTGGAGCTATAGAGCCTGGATTCAATTCTTGTTTCTGCCACTTTGGGTGGGCTTGCAGAAGTTACATTACTTCCCTGCATGTGTCCTCAGGGTTAAATAAGAGTGATAATGAATAGATTTTTCAGTGTATTTGTTGTTTATTCGTTTTTGTGACAGGCAGAGTTAGAGTTATAGACAGAGTTATAGACAGTGAGAGAGAGACAGAGAGAAAGGTCTTCCTTCCGTTGGTTCACTCCTCTAAATGGCCGCCACAGCCGGCGCTGTGCCGATCCGAAGCCAGGAGCCGGGTGCTTTGTCCCGGTCTCCCACTAAGGTACAGGGACCCAAGCACTTGGGCCATTCTCCACTGCCCTCCTGGGCCACAGCGGAGAGCTGGACTGGAAGAGGAGCAACCGAGACTAGTATCCGGCGCCCCAACCGGGACTAGGACCTGGGGTGCTGGCGCTGCAGGCAGAGGATTAGCCAAGTGACCATGGCGCCGGCCTAGTGTATTTGTTGTTTATGGTATATGATGACAACAAATTCACAATAAATTTGAGCTGTGGTTACTAAAGAACACAATTAAAAGCAAAAATAAAATTGAGATTTGATTTTCATATTCTTATCAGTAGATATATTTAAAAATAGTGCCTGTATGTAAAAAATGCAGCTGATTTAAACTCTTTGAATTCTTTGTTTTTAATAATCACCTGGAGAAATACAACATCAGAATACAAACCAGTATGTATTTAGAATTGGCTTGAAGTTTGGCTATTGTGTAGCTATATAACATAGCTAATTCAAACTGTTGCTGTTTTCTCAGTTTCTTAATTTCTTGGTTTTAATAGTGATGGAAAGTTTGTTTTTTAAGTACTTGATGAGTTTTTTACCTGAAATGTCACTGTAGTGGGCTGAGGAGAATCTCTTAGTAGAGCGTAATGATTCACAGTAACAGTTTTATTTTGGATTTTGTGTTGATTGTAACTGGATTTTATGTTAATGTTTCCCTTACTTCCAGAGTGCTGATGCTGTAAAAAAGGCTAGAGGTTTCTTGGAATTCGTGGAGGACTTTATTCAGGTTCCTAGGAATCTTGTCGGTAGGTATTTCTACTAATTATTAAATAAAATGTTACTTAGTTGCATTTAGTGACTTAGTTGAAAATGTAGTGTAATATCTAATTCTGCTTCTTATGATCTGTTACAGTATTTAGATAGCAAGCTGACTTACGTTTTTGGTGATAACACATGTGACTCGTACCTTGTTTTTAAAAAGTAAAGATGTTTTCCTTCGTCCAGGGTAATTGGATAATAATGCCCATACTTTTTGTAACAGTGTGTCATTAACAGTTTTTCTTTAAGTATTCTCTTCCTTTTGACTTTTAACTTTTTCTCAGCCTCTTATTGTCTTTCACTTATATATTTGAAATTGTCATAGTACTTTTTGGGAATGTTTGAATTTATTTCTTCAGTAGAGAAGAAAAATTACAGTGGACTAACAACAGGGTAATAAATATTTACCGTGTAGGCCCTGAATAGATAATAATTGGTTGTTGAAAGGGCATAGAAAAAGGTAAGAAGTTGTGAGCAGGAGAGGATGCTGCTGATGATATGCGGGGAGGTTTCATTATTAATTGTGTGACACCTTTCTTGAAAACTTGGATGCTCATGCTTTATTTAAGTGACAAAAATTTGAGTTGTAAGTTAAGGCTAAATGAGCATTGTATGAGATAAGTTAGTTAATATCCCTGTTGCTAATATGCTCTACATCCCTGATGATGTCTTTATGACTATTTGAGGGAAATGGGAAGGCTTTGGTTATCAGTGATTTTACTAACTTCTTAATAAAGAGGAAGAACTAACATAATGTAGTGAATGAAATTAATAGTATAGGATAAGTACTTTGTTTCCAGTTGGCCTCTTAATATTTTGACTGTAAGGAAACACTTTTTTTTTTTTTTTTTAAAAGCTCCTTGGGCTCTGTTTATATCATGAAGCCTGTTTAGCCTTTAGGAAATGATTTGTGAAGTCTTATAAATCAAGCGTGGGTAGAAAACTTAAAACTTTCATCCTGAAAACATGTCTATTTTGGCCTTAAATAACAAATAGTGTACTGTGAAAAACAGCAGTTTACATCACAAAAATGTGTTTCTTGGAATTCAGCATTAATAGAAAAGCAGCCTTTCAGTGTGGTCCAAAGATGAGGATAGCAGGGCAGACTTCCAGTTCTTACATAAACTGTACTTTATCAGCTTTTGATTTATCATCATTTACTGTAGGTTGATCTGCTGGAGAGATGAATTGAGATGTTTAAATTGAAATAAGTTTGAAGAATTTTGTGCAATTTTAATAATATTGTCAAGATATGAATGCTATGAAATATTTATCATTGTCAAATGAAGTCACCTTTGACAAGGAAGCTGCTTTTAAAAATGATCCCCTTGTTTGTTTATTTAAATCTTACTAAGTCATTCACACCGGTACTAACATTGTGGTAGCTGCTCTGTGGAACAGATATTGGTAAGGTTTCTTCACTTGTAAAAGCAATTCAATGGCAGGTTTGTGAATAACAAGCAGATTTCTTCCCAGTCTAATAATTCTAAGATAGTCTTAGTCTTTGGTGGTAGTGTTAATTATGAGTAAAAATTCCTATTTCATAAACAAGAAAATTTAACATATATTTAGTTCTGACTTGTTTCTTTATTTTTCATTGCAATGATGTTTGGGTACCTGCTGTGTCTTTTTCCCCCCCCCTCATCATTTTGGTTGACTTTGGTGATAAGGGATGGTTTTTGTGCTTTTTAGGAAATATACATTAGCAGCAGCTATTAAATATTAGCAGCACATTGGTGAAATACTCAGAGGTAGTATAAACATTTCTGTTGGTTTTCGTGTATAATAATGCTGTATTTCCCTCTGAAATATTTTATGAGTGAAGCAGTCTTTTTGAAAAGTAGTGCATTCTTAGTCCAAGTGAAAGAGAAAAAGAGGACTGAGGAATAAAAGGGAATGAGGACCACTTGGAGGGTAAGTTCCAGAGCAATTCCCTTTCACATTCATATTCCAGGAGTTCTAGTGCTTGACCATTCCTGTCTTCCCCAAATCAAAGGAAAAAATAATTATTCACTGATCAATTTGTATTACAGGTCTGCTTCAGTTTGTCCATATGCTCTGGAATTTATGGAAATGATCAATAAAATATTGACAGTCTGGTGGGAATAAATAGAACTTGTAGACAGGTTCCTTCTGTGAACCCCAGAAGGGTGGTGAATATTCATAGAACACTGGTATATTTTAAAGGAAGGAAGTGGCAAAGATTCTATGGGAGGGATTATGCTGTTACCAACCTGATTTTTTTGTTTTTCGAAAAAGACATTTGCTTATTTTTAGCAGGGTCAAGGATGGAGTTGCTGCTTGAGCTTCACTCTGTTAACAATGAAGGTTGCTTTTATGTGCTGCTGCTAGGGCTGCTCAGAGAAGACACAGACCATGTGAATTTCTTGTGCTACTGTACTTTTTATGTTTAAGATTATTATTGAGAGAGGAGGTTTAAGACTAGGATTATAAATAAAATTTAATTGTAGTGCTTTTGCTATATTGACCAGTTTCCTGTTAATTTCCCTTTATTTGTTCTAGACAAGCAGTGTGAAAAACTTCCATTTTAATCCCTTTCAACCAAAAGTAATTTAAGCTTTTGTGCAAGTGATTTAGTAAAAGAAATGACTGTTAACAAATATTGTGTTGTTGGACTTTATAAAGAGATACCTACATTGCATATATTGAAGGTTACTTGAAGATTCTGTTACTGGGTGACACTATCTGGTATTATTTTGTTATGTGTTAATTTTTACAACAAGATAGTTCCCCAGTAGAAGAATGTCTTCACGTCTTTTATTTTCCTCTTCAATTATTATATCATTAATAACTACTGTTTGGCAGACTTATAAATTAAGTGTTGAGAAGGTAAATAATTTTGTTGTTTTACAGAATGAAATATACTTGAGTGAGCATACCATATACACATTACTTGTGTGAAATACTGTGAAAAAGTCTTGATTTAAAATGTGATACTTGTTACATATAAATTTTTACTGAAGAGAATATTCATTCTAAAGTTAATATTATAGATACCTTTTGAAGAAATAGAAACTTGATGAATTTGTTACTTGTGAATATCGTATACAAGTAATAAACAAGTTGGTATGATTAATGCTAAATTAAAAGTTTGCTTTTTATCTAAATATCCAAAGCTTGAAATGAATTGGGGTGTTATTTTAAAAAGTATAAAAAGGATACAGGACATACTAAAAAAATTAGCCTTTGAAAATTTCTTCTACATGAACAACATTGTCACACCTTGATAATAACTGTTAAGCATACAGAAGACAAAGATGTTTGAAGCCAAGGATAAAAACCTTTGGTAGTCTTTAGCGCAAGTTATTAAAGTAAAATCAGCATTTTGCTTTGTGGTTATAATTCAGTAGCAAGTCATAACTTATCAAAGGATAGCAGCTGGTTTTTAACTTACTGTATTTGTTTTCTCTTACTAAAGGAAAAGTAATTGGAAAAAATGGCAAAGTTATTCAAGAAATAGTAGACAAATCAGGCGTGGTTCGGGTGAGAATTGAAGGAGACAATGAAAACAAACTACCTAGAGAAGACGTAAGTATTTAGTATGTCATTTATTTGTCTTTTTTTTTTTTTTACCATGTTCTTGACTGACTTAATGTTATTTCATATTTTGGAAATTTTTTCAGGAAACATATCTATTAAGCTACTTGCACTTATACAGTGCGTTTTTCTTATTTTTAAAAATTCTGTTCTTATAATATGGCTTTACACACTTAGAAAACAAGTCATCTTTCAGTTGTGTAGGCCTTTGGTTTCTATTTTGTCAGTACTATAGTTTAAAAAAAATCAAATTCTTGATAGGAAGGTTTCATCTGATAAATCAAAAATGATTTTTTCTTTATACTCTTTATACTTAAGAGTGTAAAGCTGTAGAATTTGTTCTTTTCAACAAAACAGTGTTGCAAAGGAATTCTCGCTCTCACTGTCCTTGACCTTTTTGTAGAATGTGAAAGCATTGACTGTTTCTTTAATTGAAATTTCTTTCAGTGTTGAGGTTGCTTTTCTGAAATTTCTTTCAGTTTGTTTTTTCACCCTGTTTGCTATTTTGTTCAGAATTCTGTTCTCCACCAAAGTCACTTTAAGGATTTTACTTAACATTCATGGCTCTAGTAGTATACTTAGGCTTTGTGTGCTTGAGAATAAGGCAAGGATTTTTCCCAGAATTATCTCCCAGAAAGAAGTACACTTAGATCTTCAGTATTTATTGCACAATAGAGCACTGTTTGGGGAATTTGCTAATAACTTATGGATAAGATAAGTTCTTTTTTTAAAAAAAATCTAAGATTTTAGCTCAGGTAAATATCCTGACTCAAGAATTGGGTGTTGTAAATATATTATTAAAGATAGCCATTAAAATAACTCTAAGAAAAGAACTTGTATTCAATTTACACTGTAAGATTTTTTTCTTATGGCTTTATGGTAGCTATTAAATTTTTTTAAATATGCGTCTGCATTCCTTGTACCTCTCCTTTACTTTGGAGATAACCATTGATGATAACATTTCCCAGTTGAGGTCAAGGCATTGTATTTCTCTTATTCCTTCTAGACCATCTGTTTGGAATGTCTTTTGTCTTTAAGTACTTGATAAAATTCTGTTTGTTTCTACATCTGTTTTATAAAATTCTTCCTGGGGCTAGTGCTGTGGCATGGGTTAAGCTGCTGGTCTATAGTGTTGGCATCCCCTATGGGCGCTGGTTGAGGGTCCCCGTAATTTTTTGACCCACCTCCCTCTTAAAGTTTCTGGAAAACCACCAAAAGCCGGCCCAGGTTTTCATTCCCCCACCCCCCCGTGGGAGCCCGGGGGGAACCCCCTGGTTTTGCCCGGCCCCCCCCCGGGTTTTTTGGCCCTTTGGGGGAGGAAATTCTTTTCCCCCCCCCCCCCCCCCCCCCGTCTCCCACCCTCTGTAATTCTGATTTTCAAATAAAGTCTTCCTAAAATTCTTTTTTTTTTTTAATTTATTTATTTGAAAATCAGAGTTAGAGAGAGGGGGAGAGGCAGAGAGAGAGAGAGAGGTCTTCCATCTGTTGGTTCACTCCCCAAACTGGCTGCAACAGCCAGAGCTGTGCTGATTCAAAGCCAGGAGCCAGGCGCGTCTTTAGGGTCTCCCACACAGGTGCAGGGAGGGGCCTAAGGACTTGGGACATCTTCCTCCACTGCTTTGCCAGGCCATAGCAAAGAGCTGGATCGGAAGGGGAGCAGCTGGGACTTGAACCGGCACCCATATGGAATTGCCGCACTGCAGGTGGCGGCTTTACCCACTATGCCACAGCGCCGGCCCTCTCAAAATTTCTTTTCATTCACTAATGCTGTATATAGTGACATTATTACAATAATGTTTACTATCTTTTCTGAGATTGTGACTGCTTTAGAAACGGACTTGTCTTTCTCTCATAGCATGGATACTGGCATTTCATAGATATTTGAAATTGGGTAACCAGATACAAAATTACCTGGCTCAGCAGCTAATTTTATGACTTTGGTCAAAATGATATACTATTTTTTTAATGAATAGTAAGTAAGATAGAATGCATAATATGGTCCCTGAAACCTAGCATATTGTTAAAATTTTTCCACTGTCCTCTTTTACTGACTATGAATGCCCTCTTACCACCTTGTGAATTCCTTACCATTGACATTATCTAGAAGTCACCAGTAAATCATTTTTTAAAAATTACTTTGAAGATAAAGCATAGATTCATATAGAGTCACAGAAATGAAGAAAATGAGGAGACAGTGAAATTGATTAGGGAACTGTATTTAGGCTTCACTCGCATTGTCCTCAGACGTTAGGAAGTTGAAAGTGTGTTTCTTTAGAAGAAAAATCCTCGTTTTACCATGTTTTTCTACTCTGCAACTTTTATAAAACCTTCTTATTCTGAAATTCAGCAAAGTAAACCAAATCTGTTAATTCTTTGAATTAATGCCTGTGATTAAGTATGTCTGCTCTTACCAGTAATTTCTTTATCTTACATTGTATGCTTAGCACATCGTGGGTGACATTTATCTTAATTATAAAGAAGTACCACCTATAGTAATAGGCACTTAAGATGTTTAAAAATCTGATCACATATCTTAGAGATAGATACCTTGGCTAACTGCTTTGTGATACTATAACACTACCCACCATGTTGAAGGATCTATTTCCAGCTGGAAGTTCTTGGCCAGTTTGTGTGTGTGTGTGTGTGTGTGTGTGTGTGTGTGTTTTTAAGATATATTTTAATTTCAAAGAGTTACACAGAGAGGTAGAGACAGAGAGAGGTCTTCCATCTGCTGGTTCACTCCCTAGAGGGCCGCAGTGGCTGGAGCTGTGCCAGTCCTAAGCCAGGAGCCTGGAGCTTCTTACAGGTCTCCCCATGTGGGTGCAGGGGCCCAAGCACTTGGGCCATCTTCTGCTTTCCCAGGCCATAGCAGAGAGCAGGATCGGAAGAGGAGCGGCCGGGACTAGAACCGGTGCCCACCTGCTGCACCATAGTGTTGGCCCCTCTTGGCCAGTTTGAATGACATGCTTCTCATTTTAAAGCTGGTTTATATATTGAATTAGAAATTAAGAAACCTGGTAGTTTTGAAAAGGTGACCCTTTAAAATTTTAGCACTTTTAAAATCCTAAATTGTAGCACAAATAATGAAATTACTTAAATTTTGATTATTCCAAGTTTGTAGATTTGTTTATAATTTGAAGCTGTTAGATGTAAATTGCTGTGTTAATTAGAAAACTTTTCCAAATTATATATTGATTTATCAAACCCAGGATAGAGGTTTGTTAAAATATTAAATACTAAGGACGTTTATCTTCTTACAGGGAATGGTTCCGTTTGTGTTTGTTGGCACTAAAGAAAGCATTGGAAATGTGCAGGTTCTTTTAGAGTATCATATTGCTTATCTAAAGGTTTGTATACTGTTCATATTCTCTTAACCATTTTTGGTACATTTTCTATGTATTAACTGTTGACTACAAGTAAATATAAAATGTACACACATCGAGCACTTTATATTTGTAGTAAATTTCAAGTCTTCAAATGTTTATATTTCAGTCAGATTTTGCCAGTGTTTCTAGGTAAGAATTTAATAATAAAAATGTCCTTAGCTTTAATAAGATGATGGTTCTTATGTACATATCTGTCCTTTTTTTTCCTTTGAGCTTTTATATTTCCTTATTTAAGAAATGGTCACTTTTGACCACTCTGTATATGGTAGAGCCATTCTGTTTTCACTTTTGTACTTCACATGTAAGGATAATACAGAACCGAGTGAAGTTGGACTTCCTTCCTAACTCTGGTGTTTTTTGAAGAAACTACATTATCCTTATTGACATCACTTGATAATTCTTTATTATTTTTACAAAACAACCTATGTTGATATAAAGATTTTAGTGAAGGAAAAGTCCTATAAATGATTACACATTATAATTGTTTTCCATAGTTTTTTTTCTTTTACTCCTCTGTTTTTAGAGTATAGTAATATCCTCAACTATTCTCTGCCTCTAGTGTATTTTTCTTCTCGTCTCTTATTTCATTTGCTACTGTGCTAATACTGTGAAAGTATCTCTAATATTCTTTCCTTTTTTTCCTCTTTTTTTTTTTTTTGAAAGTCATTGCAATATGCTAGCCTTCTAAGGCAATGCTTTATCTTCTGGTGCTCTACCACCTCTCTTTGCCTTTACATCTTGTGAAGACTGTCAGTTTCTGAATACAGGTCTAGCAGTCTTGGTCACAACTCAGCTGCTACTACTTTGATAGGAAAGTAGCTTGTCCCTAGTATGAGGTCAATTCAGAAATTTTATGGAAAATGGAACTTAACATAGTTTCTTCATAACATATATTTTCATCAAGATTTTAAAGTTTCTTCATGCCTTTTATATCTTGTATCTATACCTCATTTACTAGAGGTTTAACTCTTGGAAGGTAAAATCTGGTAATGTAAAATTACTAGTTTATTGATAAATGTGTTGTTTTAACACTGCTAATGTGTCCACTTGAAGGGTGGAGTCTGTCTTTGTTTTGTATGCTTGTTGCAGCATGGTTAGCCATACAGTCTAATGCATTCAGTAAATGTTGGTTGAATAAATCACAAGTTTCCTTGCAAACTATTTATTAGGAACATAATGCTGCTTTACAGAATTATTACCCAAGGTTATAGCTTTTTTTTTTTTTTTGGTTAGGAATACAGCTTTAGCTGTAGACTTTAAGAAGACAGTATGTTAGTATAAGAAGACTTAAACTCTTTTTTTTGTCTTGATTATAGGAAGTAGAACAGTTAAGAATGGAACGCCTACAGATTGATGAACAGCTACGACAGATTGGTATGGGTTTCAGACCTTCTTCCACCAGAGGGCCTGAAAAAGAGAAAGGATATACCACTGATGAAAGTACCGTCTCTTCTGTACAAGGTTCTAGGTCTTATAGTGGAAGAGGCAGAGGTCGTCGGGGCCCTAATTACACCTCCGGTTATGGTAAAAAAAAAAAAACTTTTTTTTTTTTTTTGGTACAAGTAATAATAATTCTGATTTTAGGTGTTCCAACACATTTTACTTACGGTTAAGTCACTATATCCTGACTTTGAGTCAAGTAAAAGGCAGTTCCTGAGGTACATGTCTTAATAGTAGTGATGTCATATTTTGTATTAATGACTATAAAAGGCATTTAATTGGCATGCAGTTTTGTAATGAAATGAAGCATGTGTTTAAAAGTTGGTAGTTTATAATCATGTTTGTTCTGAACACTCAGTGAACATAATATAGAACCTGTTTTCCTATTTTCTTACAATAGTCTTAGATGTTTCTAATTACAAACTAGTAGTAGTAGTAGTGATATTGGTAGAAATCACCTTTTATTTGCCCACTCCCTCCCACTCTAAGAAAAGTAAAAATGAAAAATACACTGATCACTATGCTAAGGTTGCATGTAGAAAGTCTTTACTAGTTTTAAAAATATGCTTTATTGACTCATTTGGCAGATTTGAGTATATTTAACATCTCATGTGGAATTCGTGTAATAACAACATTTCACTAAAATGAAGTCTTTAGAAGTCAAATTAATTAACATTGTATTCTAAAAGGTATTTCATTGTGAAGATGGGGCCTTAATATAGATAGGAAGGGGCCAGAGGAGTGGTGATAATTAACAATTCTCTAATCCTAAATTTTCACTTACTCTTCTTCAGCTTTGGCGTTCTTCCATTTTTCAACGTTTGGACTTGGATCTTAAAAGTGACCTGGTTTTTTTGTTTTTTTTTTTCTTTTTAAATACCCTCTTTCACTTTCTTCGCATTTTCTTACTTGTATCAACTGTTTTCTCTACTTCTTTGTACACATCCTGGTTTTGGAAAATGTTTCATTCACCTTTTCTAAAATACAAGGCATTTAAAGAAATCAGAAGTAAATGCAAATTTCCAGTGTGAACATTCCAGATCCAAATTTCATATATGATTGAGAGATCATCTAATGATGCCAGTTACATTAAACTTAAACTATTTTTCATTTGTGGTAGAGTTGTAAGGGTAAAATATTCCTTCTATATCCATATATACTTAATGTTTTCATTTTGTTATATTTGATTTTAGTTTAGCCTTGTTTTGAGACCTGAGAAACAAAATTCCAGAATCGACCTTTTCACATGGGAAGGGCTGAAAATTGCAAACGATTATTGTGTTCTTAAATATATTTAGTACAAAAGACAACCAGTAGCTCAATAGAAAATAAGTATATTCTGATGAAATTTTGAACTGTAAATTAGCATGACATAGAAAAACATGATGAGACTGATGAATTCATTGAAGAAGTTTTCTTAGTCTTAATTGAGTTGTTCTTACTGATGGGAGGTCATTCACTCTGGCAAAATGCTTGTGTCAAGAATAAATTTAGATGAATGACAGAGAAACATTGGGAGAGCTGATTGCTTTCGAAATTGTTCAGTAGATGGCACTCTTACCTCTGAATCTTTGCAGAACTAGTAACATTGTGTTTTTTTAAGTAGTTGTTGAATTTGAAGAATTTTGAAGAGAACTAAATACCATTTGAATTTTATTATAAATGTTCTTGTGCACCTTGTAACAGAATTTTTAGTTAATATGTATCAGTTCTATAGGAAACATTTCCCAGTGTATTATCTGAATTTGGTATGTGCCTTAACACTCATTGGATGATGTCTTAAAATTTTTCTCTTCCAAAAATTTTTGTTTATTAGAGAAAGAGGGAGCTAATGTTCCACCCACAGGATCAGTCCCCAATTGCTGTCAGTGGCCAGTGGTGTTGAAGCCAGGAGTTCATGCCAGGTCTCCCTCATGGGTGGGAAGGAAAACAGCACCTTCAGCCTTTGCCTCATGGCTGCCTCCTAGCATCTGTATTAGCAGAAAGCTGAAATCAGGAAGTGTAGGAGTTTGGAACTGGACATCCAACTATAGGCACTCAGTATAATAAGGACTGCCTTCTGGGATGTGGACATCCCAGCCAGCAGCTTAACTGTTAAACCAGATGGCACCCCATTTTCTCATTTTATGTATTTTTTTACGTTTATTTGTTATTTGAAATGCATAGTGACAGATACCCTCCATCCACTGGTTTGTTCACTCCCCAGATGGCCTACAATAGGCAGGGCTGGACCAGGCCAAAGCTAGGAAACTCCTTTGGGGTCTCTCATGTATTGGGACTTCCCACATAGATGGCAGGGAACCTAGCCATCTCGAATCAGCATCTCCTGTCTCCCAGGGTGTACATTAGCAGGAAGCGTATGGGAGGCAGGAGCACTCCAACATGAAATGCACACATACCAACTGATAGCCTAACATGTTGTGCCATGATACCTGCCCCAGTTTCTCTTTTTAAATGACACACAATTACATCTTTTTTTTTTAGTAGAAAACTTTTATTTAATAAATACAAATTTTGAAAGTACAACTTTTGGATTATAGTGGTTCTTCCCCCCATAACTACCTCTCACCCGCAAACCATCCCATCTCCTACTCCCTCTCCCATCCCATTCTTCATAAGATTCATTTTCAATTATCTTTATATACAGAAGATCAACTTGGTATATACTAAGATTTCAACAGTTTGAGTAGTAGATTTACTGTTAATTCACCTAGTAAAACACATTAAGGACAGAGATCCTACATGGGGAGCAGTGTACAGTGACTCCTGTTGTTGATTTAACAATTGACACTCTTATTTATGATGTCAGTAATCACCCAAGGCTCTTGTAATGGGCTGCCAAGGCTATGGAAGCCTTTTGAGTTCACGAACTCTGACCTTATTTAGATAAGGTCATAACTAAAGTGGAAGTTCTCTCCTCCCTTCAAAGAAAGGTACCTCCTTCTTTGATGGCTCATACTTTCCACTGGGAGCTCGCTCACAGAGATGTTTCATTTAAGTCATTTTTTGCTACAGTGTCTTGGCTTTCCATGTCTGAGATACTCTCTTGTGCTTTTTACCCAGATCTGAATGTCTCAGGGGCTGGTTCTGAGGCCAACACAATTAATCTTCAAGTTGATAGTGTTTTGGATGATAGAATGTATTTTTCTTTAACTGTTAAAGTGAACTATCTTCACGATAAGGTTATTTTAGAAGTTTCATAGGTAATAAGATTTAAAATTTGGTTAAAAATAGGATGGAGTAATTAAGAGTTGAAGCAGTGTCATGAATCATTTTTAAAGCTTCAAAAATTTTTTTGAGCTTTTTGCGTAAATGAGAGGTTGAAATAGTTTCAGTGGTTTCAGAAGAGTATTATCTGTTGTTGATGCTGTATTAAATTACCACAAACGTAAAGACTTGAACTATACATGTATGTGAGTTATATGGATTGGAAGTCTGACATGGGACTGTCTGTGCTAAAATGTTGTTTGCTGTGCTACATTTCTTTCTGGAGGCTGTAGGGGACAATCTGTTCCCTTTACTTTTCCAGCTTTTAGGAATCACTTTTTTCGTTTCTGACCCCCTCCTTTCATTTAAAAAAAAGAGTCCTCATCATGCTGCCATCTCTTTCTCCACAGCTGAGAAAGGTTTTCTGCCCATAAGATTAATTTGTACTCACCTGGATAATCCAGTGTACTCTTCCCCCTTCCCTCCAGGTCCTTATCCTCAAAGTACTTTTTGCCATCATAAAAACATTCCAGATTAATTAATATAGCTGAAGTTGAGCACTAGCCAGTTTAGTAACCTTTTTTCTTTTTGGCCTTTTACTTCTGTTTTCTACTGAAATCTTAGGATTTAGATGCTTTAGATTTCTTAAATTCTAGATTTTAATTAGGAAGAATTTCCTTGCTTGTGACATTACATTTATTTATGACATTTAGTTAATAAAATGTGTTTTTTCCACCTTGAGAAATACTGTTAAAGGAGATTGATTTCCTTCATGATATTCTAATTCCCCCAAAAAACTTAAAATGAGTAGTAAAAAACTTGACATTCTCTAGAACATACTCCTAATTCAGTATCCAAATCTCTTCTGTAATTGATGAGTTCCATTCATATAAGGGGTCTTAAAGATTCCATGGAAAATGTATATTATGAACAACTGCACGGATTTCAAAAATTTTTTGTGCCAAAATAAACTTTGAATTTCATTTTCCTGAATGTTTTGAAATTCCCTTGTATTTATCAACATGTAGAGAAAAGGGATATATTGCAGAGTTATTATTTATTTATTTTTTTGACAGGCAGAGTGGACAGTGAGAGACAGAGAGAAAGGTCTTCCTTTGCCGTTGGTTCACCCTCCAATGGCCGCCGCGGCCGGCGCACCGCACTGATCTGATGGCAGGAGCCAGGTACTTATCCTGGTCTCCCATGGGGTACAGGGCCCAAGCACTTGGGCCATCCTCCACTGCACTCCCGGGCCACAGCAGAGAGCTGGCCTGGAAGAGGGGCAACCGGGACAGAATCCGGCGCCCCGACCAGGACTAGAACCCGGTGTGCTGGCGCCGCAAAGCGGAGGATTAGCCTAGTGAGCTGCGGCGCCGGCCTTGCAGAGTTATTTTTAAAGAAGAAAAGAAATTGGTAGACTCACTCCAGCAGTTTAACTTTCATAATTTATTCCCTGTACTTTACTACTTATAACTTTGTATAGTATATCTGAAGAGCTGTTTTTATTATTAAATGACTAGAATTTAAGGGAAATTTGAGATATTTTATGAAATAACTTAGTTGCAAGTTTATTCATGTGAACTTTAAAATTGTACAGTATATTCATTTATCAAGAATAAGTTGTTATACACATTGCCAGGCATCAGAACTAACAAAAGGGGGATGAGTATGATAGTGATTGGGTCATACATATATGACACTTTAATTACCCAGTGAGACTGTAAGCTGCTTAGGAAATCTTTGCAGTAAAGTTTTGAAAGGTCTTCATTAAAACGGGTTGTTGGAATGTTAGAAATGGTCTGTAAACTTTTAAAGGCATGCTAAATTTCACTGGTTGTAGCTTCAATTCTTATTGATTGTTAGGTGAGATGTCTTTGCTTGAAACTTTTAAAAAATTTGTTCAATCATTTCAAATATTGTGTTCTAATTTGAGACACTAGCAAAATATAAAACACTGCAGTTTATAACACCATAAATTAGGAGAAATGTACTGATTTCAGGAGTGTTATTTAACATGTGAAAGAAATATGTGTACAGTAGATTCAGAGAAGTGGTAGAATCACTGTATGATTATTCAGTTTTCTACATATGAATTTGCTTTAAGATATGGAATAGTGGCTATATTTGTTGTACTAGTTATTTAGGTTATTATAACTTAAAAATGGGAAGAAACTTTGACTAACAATCATTCCACATTACCTGCATTTTAAAATTACATATATAGTGTTTTACATGTTTTTTACAGTTCTATTGGCTGTTTTTTGTACATTAAAACAATATTAGCCTTTCTTGACAGTTAGATACTGTGCTATTATTCCTTAGTTAAGATTCCTTAGTTAATGTATTTCAAATTGATTTTAATTTTCATTTAGCTTTTCTAGAAGCAGCCAATCAGTGCGTTTACTAAAACAATACTTTGCAAGAAATAATTTTGAAAAAATATCAACTCTTTTTTTAAAATTAGGAATATCATTTGCCTATGTCTCTTCTTTCTCCAGGTACAAATTCTGAGCTGTCTAACCCCTCTGAAACTGAATCTGAACGTAAAGACGAGCTGAGTGATTGGTCATTGGCAGGAGAAGATGATCGAGAGAGCCGACATCAGCGTGACAGCAGGAGACGCCCAGGAGGAAGAGGCAGAAGTGTTTCAGGGGGTCGAGGTCGTGGTGGACCACGTGGTGGCAAATCCTCCATCAGTTCTGGTAGTTTTTTATATACTATGTCAGCATCCATTCTTTGTAAACACTATAACCTTACAAAAGTTAACTCATCTCCCAGAGCCACCCATTCTTGGAAATTTCTCTTTCCGCTCACTGTCTTATAGAGAATAATAAATCATTTATAAAGTAATCTATGTAAGGAAAAGCCCCGTGGAGTGTTTTTCAGTGAAGGCATACTTAGAATATTCAGGTCAGAACTTCAGCTGACTGATCTCTCTGTTTTGAGAATCAGATGTTTATCTCTTTAGTTTTGGGGAGTGTTAATGTGATACGCAGAATTTTTGTTTTTGTTTTCCCTATAATTTTGAGTTATGTATTTCTGTTTTCCAGTCAGGCACAGAGAATTCTAATGCACAGAAAGATCTAAATATAAGTACTTTTATATAATTGAATTTGAAAATTAACTGAATAGCATTTTTTGCCATACTGTGTACTACTTTTGTGAGTAGGGAAAAATGTTGGGGTCAGTTTTTAAAGAAAATTTTTTATTGTTTGAGGAATTGAATTATAAAGAGGTATGTTTAGATTACACTAATGGTTTAGTAACTTTTTCTTTTGAGTATTTTCAATGCTTTAAGTGAAATGGTGTTGTAGTTGTCAGAATGTTCTTAGCATAATTGGCCAGAAGGGGTATCTGACAGGGATACATGGACAAGATGATACCAAGGATATAACTTTATATACCTTTATTGTATATCATTTAAAAAAAAAAAAAAAAACACTTTTCTTAAATGTTATCTCCATTAGAGCTTATGTGTTATTTAAGTATCACAGAGGATATGTATACACATTAAATAATGCCAGATATGCTTTGTGCTTAATGAGCTTAGACAAATCACAAAATTTAGGGATCTTTTTAATTTTTAGGTTTTCTCTAGTTGCACAGTAATAATTCTTTTGAGTCATAAGTTTAGTTCATAGGCTTTGGAAATAGTTTTTATATTTTAGTACACTGTGTACTGTTACTGAGGTTTATAAAATTGTAGTATGCTGAATTGCAAATAAATGTACTTTAGTGTTTGATTAATGGATAAACTTAGTGTTTCTTGCAAAGATGCTAGCTTGCTAGCTGTACCAAAGGAAACTTAGGAAAAATATCGTGATTTAGGTGAATTTCTTCTATAATTTGATTGTTGGAAGCAATAAATGCACATAGGTAAGATGGGTCTTTTTCTTACAAATTGTGTCTTAAACTTTTCCATGTTCACCCCATCCTGCCCCACCTTCATGCTTTGTGTCCTGAGATGGAATACTAGTCAGCATTTCATTTTGACATTTTCCTTTTCATAACCAGTTAGAATTTCAAACTTATTTAAGTTTGCTGCTTTGTGTGGACTTATTTTGATATGGTTACAGATTTGTGTTACGTCATAGAGTGCAGGTGTTGAGTATTTGGAAGTGGTTAACATCAGCACAAAGAAGCAGTAGTCACCTGGGACTCAGGAAAGGGACAAAAGTTTGTTAGAATTAATTCACATTAGCTGAATATTTCTCTTTTATTTTCTAGCCTCTGGACAGGATTGCCTAGAAACATGACTGTCAAAATAATAGTATTTCATATACCGTTGTCCATCAGGATCTGTAGGGGATTGGTTTCAGGGCTCCGCTGTCCACATAGCTGTTAAGAGATTCTGGGTATGATTAATCCATTTATATAAAATGGAATATTATTTGCACAATTGGCCTACACACATCTCCAGATGACTTGACAATACCCATAAAAATAAATACTACATAAATTGTTACATTGTATGTGTAAGGCAAAAGGATCTGTACATGTTCAGTGTACAAGCAATATTTAAGAAAGCTTTTAATCTCCAGTTGGTTGAATCTTGATACAGAACCTACAGATACAGAGGTACAACTGTATATGTCTTAAAAACACACCAAAGGAGATATTTTGTTAGGAAATGTAGATGTCTGTCCACTTGCTGCTTTATAATTTTTCATCACCATTTAAAGTTTTCCATATTTAATCATGTTTGCTATTTCCTAGGAAAAAATAGTGATAAAGAAAAACATTTTATTTGAAGACAGTATATTTTTATTGTGGGAAATTGAAGTTTATTTGCCATTAATTGATAGAGTTCATTTATAATCAAAGCATTAACTGCAGCCCTCTTAAACAAATATTTCTTGCCTCTGACATGAATATAGTGCTCAAAGATCCAGACAGCAATCCATACAGCTTACTTGATAATACAGAATCAGATCAGACTGCAGACACTGATGCCAGCGAATCTCATCACAGTACTAACCGTCGTAGGCGGTCTCGTAGACGAAGGACTGATGAAGATGCTGTTCTGATGGATGGAATGACTGAATCTGATACAGCTTCAGTTAATGAAAATGGGCTAGGTATGTAAGCACTTAGGGGAAAGATACATAATTATATAATATTAATGTATCAAGCATTTTCCTAAAAACATATGTAATTCATAAATTGAATTTTTTTAGGGTTTAAACAAAATAAACTTGATAGCTTTTTGTCAGTCTTAAATGTCTACTTCTCAGATTTGTCAGATTGTTTGAGGCTGTTTATTATTTGAAGTGTTTATTAAAGTGCCCTTTGATACCATTAACTAAATACAAATTCAAACTGCACCATACTTACGGTCCTCAAACCAAAATTTGGGCTTTCAGTTTGCCTCTTGAAAATTACTCTAAATGACATTATTGAAAGTATGTATTATCAGGAGTGGGCATTAATTTCCAAATTTTATTGTTTGGTAAAAACCATTCTGTATTGGAGAGTTAAGCTTTATTCTTGAAGGATGATTTAAATTGCCTGAGAGTTCAGTTTATTTTGAGGTAAAACTCTTAATTTCCAAAGGGTAATTTCAGTTTTATTCTATTACAAATGCTTAAAGTTACAAATGTGTATTTCTTATTAGCAATGTGTTGTGTTTCATTTGATATTTAATTAAAAGTTTCTTTGTCCCCTGAAACCCTTGAAGGGAAGAAGTTTTGTTTCTGCTTTTATTTTGTCAGAATAGTTCATGGTAAACTTTGCAATTGCAGATGATAGTGAAAAAAAACCCCAGCGACGCAATCGTAGCCGCAGGCGTCGTTTCAGGGGTCAGGCAGAAGATAGACAGCCAGGTAACTTGAGTGGACCTGTTGATGACATCAGGTCACAGCATGAAAAAAAATGTCATGTGTCTGCATTCTAAATCTATTATACTTACATGTACACGTGTGCATATACATTCAAAATTTGCATTGCATAAATTGTTCAACTAATAAGACTACTACTCCTAGTGCATTCTTCCTTTATACTGTAAATGTTTAGTAACCTGTCTGATTGAACTAATGTTGTGTCTAAAATTTTTACATGGAAATACTGTTGAGAAGATCATTATTTTGTTCACTTGGCAGATTCTTCACACTTGAGATGAGTGAGGCCTGCCATCCCAGGGACTATGTTGTAAATTGTGATTGAGGTTGATTGGCAAAACTGGGCAGCTTTTGCATGGTGTCTGCGTACTATATCTGGATTCAGCACCTCATTTTTGTGGGAATTGTAATACCCACTGTTAAACAAACAAAAACTATAAAAGAAATATATTTTTTTTTCTTAAGAGGAATGCATGTTATGGTTTTGTTTCATTGTAGTGTGATGATTTTTTTCCTTACACCTACTAACTATTCAAATTAATAGTATTTAGTTTTAGAATGTTAACTTATTTTAAGTAGTTATACTTTATAGTAACTTCAACAAAATTTGTTGTGTCAATTATTTTGAACATAATTTCATTTCCTGTGTATAGAGTATCACATGTATATTCACAATGAAGAAATGTGTGTGCACCAGAAATAAACCCCTTTCAAACTAATCAGTTTTTGCATTCTTTCCAAACCAAATTCTTTCATGTGTTTTTCCCAAATAAAAGATATAAATTCTAGCATTTTTAGCATTTTAAGTTTAGTGGTTGTAGAGATATTTGGGAAAGCTGGTTTAAGGGTATTAGGTCCAGTTCTTGTAAAAATAGTTGGGCATTTTAAAAGGCATTAAACACTGTCAAAAAGTAGAAAGTGTTCAGAAAATGTTTATCCTTTTCTTTCTGCTAGTCCTTTAGTACATTTTAGATGAAGAAAATCTTTTACATTTTTTTGACAATAGCACAGTAGTTAGATTTTGTGGCCCTACTTTAAATAGGAAATTTCAGGCTATCAGCCTGGACTTAACATAGAATTAATCACAGTATAACTTGTTAACCCATTAAGTCTCAAGTTTTCTATTCTTGGACGATTTCAGTGACACAATAGAATTATCGTAAGTGATATATTACTTGCTAAGTTTAAATCTTTGTAAGTGTCCTAAATATAAGACAATGGGATATAATGGGTTAACATGGTGAATGGTGTTATTACTAAGTTCACAGACCTAAAAGGATTAATAAAGTAATGGGGTTTGTTGCAGAAGAGGCAGAGATTTCTATATATATTAATTGAAACAAGTAATGTAGTTTTGAATAATTTGTGTTCTGTACTGCCTCTGTTTCTTTTATGCTCTTGTTTTCTGCACTTTCTCTTTGACCTAGCATTTGCTAGCTTCCCCTTCTTCAACAGGTAGGTAGATAGAGTGGGTGAAATGAGCAAAAAAGCTTCCTTTTTACTCCTGGCAGCTGTTTGAGAGGCAATCTTCATCTAAAGTTTTATAGCATTCTTTAAAATCCATCATTTATCATTTAAAATTTCTTATTCTTGCAGTAAATTAAGCATTGAGTATTCTTTACACTTACAGTGTAACAGTGCATTCACATGTGCAGCTGATTGACTCAGCCCTCTTATAAGAAATTCTAGAGTGCAAATTGTAGATTTAGGTTGGCTGAAGTTTTCAACATAAATATTTCTTAGTCTGCAGTGAACATTTAAGAAGGAAGCTTTTAGAAGGACTGGCTATAGACATTTTTTCTTTGAATTAACTGAGGTTTCTTTTGGTTCCCTTTTATTTGGAGAGAGGACGTTCCAGCCAAGTGCCTTTTAATGATATCAGTATCAAAATATATTATCATATATCTGTGTACATAGCAAAGGATTCTATTGAGAATTATTTCGCTGTATATTTAAATTTAGCAAGTCTGTATAAACAACAGGGCTTCTAAGTAGATTAGTTTTTCCAGGCATTAGTGAGGCTTCAACTGTGAAAACAGAATGTATTTACTAAGCTAGTCTCCAAAGGATGGCTAGATTCATTCTCAGGGATAGTCTCACTACCATGATGCAGAAGTAGTAATGTGGTGGATTATTATATCCCCCTTCCCAATACTGTAAACTGTTATCTCCAGCAGTGAATTTAAACAAGTTAAAATGCTTCAGAATGAATATACTGAGTCTCCTACAGAAGAAAAAAGGCAGTCTTAGATTAAAAAGTGACCTTACAGTTTTTTTTTTTAATAAAAATGATGAAAGTTCTAAAGTGATTTTCACATGATTTTAAAAGATTCATTCAAGTAATAATTCTAAAAGACTTTTGGATATTAAAGTACTAGCATGTTAAGAAAAGTTATATATACTATCTAGCTTTCTTTTAGTAATATCAAAATGACTTATTTTGACATAATTTGAACCTTATGGATCAATTCTCCCTGTGGTTTCAAGCAAATTACTTAAAATTTGAATTCTCACATAATTAATTTTCACCCAGAATTTAAAATACATACTGTATTTTCATGTATCAGGGCTCTCACCCAGTTTGTGATAGAAAATAATTACTTGAAAGGATTGAGATATAAAGTGAGGCCAGTATATAATACCCGTAGAGTAGAGGTGATTTGTTGTACTAGGATTGGCAGTAGTATATAACTGAGTTCACCTTTTTGCTAACTTACCATTACTTTACATAGACATATTCTGGATAGTCCATAGCAAGATTAGCAGTGAGGGAGGGGCAGGGGTGGTCACAGAATGCATTCTGATTCTTTATTCAACTTTTTAGAATAGGTAGTGGTTTGCCATCCTTATTTGACTTATAGGTTCTTACTTTAATATCAGATTCTAGTGAGAAATGTTAAAGAAAGTGTCATGTTGTATTTTAATTGTTTTTTTTTCTTTTAAAAATAATATTTGAGCACATTTTTAATGACATTTTCAAATTTAAATTTACCCACCCCAACATAGCAAGCACTGTCTTGGGCCTAGAACACTGCACCCACATTCCCTATTATTGGTTGTAGCTTTCTACCTCGAATTTGTCCCTCAGCTTTAGTTTCAACCAGGTGGAAATAGCTGGATTTTTGGGAACGAGGATTTTAATTTAGACTTCCTCAATCTCCAGCTTGAAACTTCAGTTGACAGCGCTAAAGTCATAGGTAGATTATTCAAGCTTTGTTTTTGGTTTGAGGTGGTGCCCAGCTTAAGAAAATACTGAAATTGGGTGGCCCACCAGTACTTTATATTAACAGTGAAATTACTCTTTATCCATAAATAAACTTTAGAAAATTTTTCAACACCTGTAATTTTTTTCTCATCTTTAACAGTCACAGTTGCAGATTATATTTCTAGAGCTGAGTCTCAGAGCAGACAAAGAAACCTCCCAAGGGAAACTTTGGCTAAAAACAAGAAAGAAATGGTAAGGAGAATTTAACCTGTAGGGTTTCTTTTTTATTTTGGTTATTGTTTAGCTTTATTTTTTTCACTTCTTACTGTATGATCATTTGTTTCCCTAAGTAGACAAGTAATTAAAGACAACTCGATTTTGTTCTTGGCCCCAGGTAACTGAAAGTATGCATGCTTGAGCCTGAAATACTTTTCAGTTAAAACTTTAAATAGCATTTGTAAAATTCAGTCTGCCCAAAGATGTTGGGCATAGAGACTGTTGACTTCTGGGAAGCAATAGGCTGTACACTCTTTGCAGTAATGGAGATGGACCTTTAAAGATTTGATTCTTTGAAATAATTTAAGGTATTTGATATAATAAGTTTCATAAAAAAAGGTGAGTACAGTAGTGATTGCTTTACTTAGGCATTAACTTATATTGTTCATGGTGAGCTTTCCAGTGGTTGGTATCCAAAAAAATTCCTTAAACAGTACAGATGCTTTCTGTGGTTTGGACACTGCTAAGTTACTAGAGATAATGGAGTTGAAGGGCACAGAGCGGAGTACCTTGGTATTTTGAATTTTATAAACATTTTAATTCTTGGATTCATTGTGACATATAAAACTGGAATTTTTTAATTAGCTAAATATTAATGTTTATGTAGCTGTTTTCCTCCTCAGCTATAGATTTCATTTATAAAGAAGTTGAAAAAGTTGTCTCCCTTTGGCAGGCAAAAGATGTGATTGAAGAACATGGTCCTTCAGAAAAGGCAATAAATGGCCCAACTAGTGCTTCTGGCGATGAAATTCCTAAGCTACAGCGTACTCCAGGAGAAGAAAAGATTAATACCTTAAAAGAAGAAAACACTCAAGAAGCAGCAGTCCTGAATGGTGTTTCATAAACTGAAGAAGTTCCTAGTTTACAGTTCTTTTACATTACATTTACAATAGTGCTTGTACAAGCTTGCCAAAGATAGAATATGGATCGCCAGTCTTTACATCGCACTTTCAGTTCCTCCATTTGGAATTCAGAAAGGGGAGGGATCCTGAAGAAATCATATGTTAAACATACTTTGACACCTACTGTGTTATAAAATATATCATCAGATGTGCCTTGAGAATAGTATATGTAACATTAAAAAAAAAAGTTGCTGGCTATAGGAAATGTTATTTTGTTTTCAAAATATGGCAGAGATTGGGGGAGGTGGGTGGGGTGGGATCCCTAACGTAATATTCTTTATGAAAGCATTAGCTGCTTTTGTTACATTTTTAATATGCAACCACTTCTTCACCTGAGGAAAACTAGAATGAAATGCAGTCTAAAATATTTTGCACTGAATTGTAATTTCTTCATTAGTTTAGTCTGGAAACTGGTCTGTTTTAATGTATTTTTTAAATGCTGTATGTAGATGAAAATCTGCAGACCACTGGAATACATTTGTTAAACTCATCTGCAGGGACACTGGGTGATATTGGCAGTGACTGTTCTACATTGAGGCTTTGTTTGGTTTATTTATTAAAGTGTACAGTATTTAAAAATCAAACATAGCTTTAGTTAAAAAACACTAAGCTGAATTAGTCATGTCCATTCAGACATAACCTGAACTACTGAAAAGATCAATTTCCAGAAGGTTTATTCTGTATAAACTACATGTTAGTCTTCAGTAGAGTATCTCCCCCCCCACCCCACTTTTTTTTTTTTTTTTTTTTTTGATTTTGGTTGTTTGATGTGCAATATGTTTTTGTATGCAGGTAGTAAATAAACTTTGATCTTCCATTTGCTGATTTTTAACTTTACTTTATACACCAACTGTTGCAAAGTAGTTATAACTACTTACAGGCCTAGAATAGTATCTTTAACAGCTTTTTAAAAAGCATCTAGATTTGCTCATGGATACAATTCAAAGTGTCAGTTGACCATTTAGCTATTTTTTAGTGAATGCAGTTAAAACACCTGAAATTTAGCCTTCAGGGCTGGCACTGTGGCGTAGTAGGCTAAGCCTCTGTCTGTGGCGCCGGCATCCCATGTGGGCGCTGGTTCATGTTCTAGCTGCTGTTCTTCTGATCCAGCTCTCTGCTTATGGCCTGAGAAAGCAGAAGATGGACCAAGTGCTTGGGCTTCCGCACCCACACGGGTGACTGGGAAGAAGCTCCTGACATCGGATTGGGAGCTGGGCCATTGCAGTCACTTGGGGATTGAAACCAGTGGATGGAATACCTTTCTGTCTGTAACTCTGCCTCTTAAATAATTAAAAAAAAAAAAAACTTCAAAAAATAGGTGGTTTAGAGAATTGATAGTACATTTAATGTTAGGATAAAAGTCATGGTAACAAAACTAAAAGGCAACGTTTGGAAGACACTGGAGGATAGAAATCAGCATTTTACTTTCCCCTTTATCAAATATTTTTAAATGAACAGTTTTAAATAAGGGATAGGCTAGGAATTTGCTTTTTGATTCTCACTAATTTCAAAGGTTCTTAATAACTGAAAGCAAACATTTTCTTTGTATATTATAAAGAATTTTATAAAGATAAAATTATTTTGAGTAAAATGATAATGATAAATGGCCAAATAAAATAATTGTGAACTCATGGGGGAAGAATTTTATTTCACAATATTATATGGCCCACTGAGTGAGATATCCTGTTCCTGAAGGTTTTTTTTTTTTTTTTAAAGTTTTATTTTGGAAGAATTAAAAGGGAGAGGGGACCTTCAGTGCACTGATTCACAAATGGCTAGAGTGAAGCTAGGAGCCTACATCTGTGTGTGTCACATGGGTGGCAGGACCCTGAACACTTAGGCTACATTCTGCTTTTGCCAGGGCACTAGCAGGGAGCTGGATTTGAAGTGCCAGCATTGCAGGAGGTGTTCTACCTGCTACGTAAAAATGCTGGCCCCTTAAGAAGTGTTGTGCATAATTTATGTTAATTTGCTATGTACACAAAATAGCGCATTTTAATTCCTAGGAATTGAAGGATAATTCTGGGTACAGTAGAATTTGCCATATCTGTTTATGTAACTGTCTCATGCTAATTGAAAAGTTAAAATACACTGGTACTTAAATGCTTCTTGCATTCTTCTCCGATAGCTAAGGATTTTAAAGATAGTGTGAATAGTGGAATTGCTGCTCTTTAAAGATATCACGTAATTTTATATACCAGTTTAAAAAATACCCTCAAATGTTTTCAGAACTAGAAACAAGTTAAATTGTTGGCCATTTTATCAGCTATTAGAAGAAACTTTAATCCCTAAATTGCAAATGTGTCATAAGAGAAAATTATTTTTCTTATATATGTGGATAGATTCACTAAAACCAATCTCCAAGAAAGTTAACTTCAGTTCAGAAAAAAATAAAATGGTCTTAGAAAGTAAGGATAGCTGAAATACTTGGGAATATCAGTAATTAATGAACATACACTAAGAAGTAGCTGCTAAGATGTCATTTTACAAAGGACTATACTCAGAGTCCTTTAAATACTGAAAAATGGGATTGTGCAGCCCAAGTTTCTTTTTTTTAAAATAGTACATATTTCAGATTCTGAAGTATGAGGTACTTCAAAGGCTCATGGGAAATGCAGTTTGTTTTGGCATAAAACAATATGTGTCTTCCATGAACTTTTTAAAGACTCCTACATGTGAGTGAAAAGCCTGCTTTCCAAAGATAACTGTTAATCTCTGGTGCTTTCCAAACTTGAGAGGGGTCCATATTTCTGCCTGCTACCCTAATGAGATGAAATGTCATTATGGAAGAACTTGTTAGTATATGCAAAGCAGACTTAAATGTATTCTCAAGGATGATGTGGTTTGCAAATTCTATGCACAATGTGTATGTACAGAATCACAGGGAACTTGAACTGAACATGAAATAGGTGAAATTAGATGGGGACAAAGTTTTTAAAAATTATTTTTAAAAAAGATTATTTGAAAGAGTTAGATGTAGACTGAGCTTCCATCTGCTGGTTCACTCCCCAAAGCGCTGCAATAGCTAGAGCTGGGCCAATCCGAAGCTAGGGTCCAGGAGTTTCCTCCACCCTTGTCTCACACGTGATCAGAAGTGCAGTAGCTGGGACTTGAACTGGTAACCATATGCGGGCCACAGGCAGCTGCCCCGAAAGTGATCTTTTCCTGAAACCTTGTTCTTGGTTTAAGCATCTCCTTTTTAAAGCCTTTACAGGGCCTAAAATTGTTCTTTCTGCACAGTGTTCTCTCTGGTAACATCACTGGCACAAATATACCAGGGATACAGGGAAAGAGTTACCAACATTAAATATAGATAGGAAAAAGGACTGAAAAATAGGGAAATACTCAGCTGTGATCAGGGAGTCAAAAGCAGCTGGTGTTTTGTATTCTGGATCCCATTTGTGGCAGCCATTTTTTGGTGGCCGGGTTCCATTATCTTTGTGCTAAAGCTGATCAATTCTGTACCTGTTTGCTGTTCTGGTGCTTTGTAACCTGAGGTTCTCTGTAAAGTTAACTGTTGGGATTAACTGTGTCTTGTGCAAACAGATTTACAATTTGAGGTCCAAACCAAGCAGTTAGTATTCCTAGACTGTCTATAATAAGCTTACAGCTAAGGACAGATAAATGGAAAACTGGTCCTTTGTCAGATAGTGGATAGTTTATTGGGAATGACAGTTCAGGAAGATTTCTCTTAAGGTTTACTAGGTTTCAAGGAACTTGGATTTATAGCTAAATCTGGGTTTGGCAAAATTCAGAAACAAGTTGGATGTTGTAAAGTCTCAACATTATTTTTGCTATTATGGTTTGGATCCTTTATACCTTTTTATAAGGGATCTAGTATAGTGAAATTTGCTGACCCTTTATTTAGAAATTTTAGTTCTTTATTAGGATGTGTGCTTAAATGAATACCAGCTCAGAACCTATGACAGTATTTGAAAGCTCCTAATTACAATCTGCTACAGTCTCAGATTTTAAATTGTACTCTCTTGCTGGTTGAAATAAGACCATCACAGGGCTGCCATTGTGGTGCAGGAGGTTAAGCTGCTGCCTGCTATGCTGGCATCCCATATAGGTGCCAGTTTGAGACCTGTCTGCTCCACTTCCAGTACAACTCTCTGATAATGTGCCTGGGAAAGGACTGGAAGATTGCCCAAGTGTCTGGGCCCCTGGACCCACATGGGAGATCTGGAAGACTCAGCTCCTGGCTTAGGCCTGGCAGAGTTCTAGCTATTGCAGCCATTTGGGTAGTGAACCAGGGGATGGAAGACTTTTGTCTCTGTAACTCTGCCTTTCATATTTTTAAATGAGTATTATGCTGAACAATAGAAAATTCCCATGTTTGTGGGTCAAAAATGTTCAACTGTTGGTTATTTGCTGTGGTTCAACCTAATTACATATTTTAAAACAATTATTTAGAAATTCAAGAAAGAGATCAAACATCCAGAAAAATCCTAATTACTAAAGAATAGAAGCACATATAATCTATAAGAAAATACTTCTTGTTTTTAAAGGGATTTATCATATTACCTTAGATTCTGGTTCATCTGTATGTACTTCAAGTAATGAAGTGAAATGTTTAAATATCTGCCTGGGAAAACTATAGTACAACTTTTAAAGTTTTTCCATAGTCCTCTTGTTTGTTTCTTCCTTTGATAACTTGAAACGATGTTATTGCTAAAAGTGCAGAAATGGGAGCCAGTATTGTAGTTCTGCTAACTTTTTCAATTTCATCTAACTGGAAAGGGCCAGGCGAGTTTGATATTTTGAAAGCCCTTACTGTTTTAACATAACTTGAATCTAGTCACTTGTCAGATCCTGGGTAATCACCCAATGGCCAAATGTTCTCATAAGGTGAATGCTGAATTAAAATGTTATGTATATACATATCTATCTCAGCCATTTCCAGCTATGCTACATGCAATCTAAATATAGCCCAAACAGAGCCAAGATAATTTTTTTTTTACTTCCTCAGGAAATAGACTCACAAATATACAATTAATAACTTCTTGAATTTGTCAGTGATTGGTATGCTCCTCCTTTTGGTGAAGTATTTTCTGCATGCATGTACCTTTTTCTTCTTTTTTTTTTTAACTTACTGGATAAATTGTAAAAGTTTTCCAGCTTAGAGACCATATTTCATTAAAAGCATTTTTCAATAGTTGTTCTAGGTAAACTGCTTTATACTTAAGTTTTGCCTGGAGCTTATACTTCAGCTTTTTGAGCTTCATCTTTCAAACTACCTTGCTGTTTTCAGGTTGTTAAAAAAAAATTTACAGTAATTCAGACATTTAAGGTGGCAGTAAAATGTTAACATGTTCCTGATTATACCCTAACACTGGACATTTTACATCGGATCAGGAATAACAGGTGACAGGATAGAAGTTCTTTCTGTATCCTGTTGGCTAGGGCAACAGTTGGCTTCAAGAATACACATTGTACTCTGCACAAAAGTGCAAGAATAAAAAGCCCAAGTTTCTGGTATGAATGGTTACTCTTGGCTCAGGATTCTTCATAAAACCAAATGCCCACTGGAACATTTTAAAAATTTTAAAGAAAAGTCCATTATCTCTAATTTTATATTCTTGGAAGTTTATGAGCTAATGTATTTTCATCAGAATTAACCTTTGTGGAATCATTTACACTCCAAATGTGTCCCTACTACAGACTTCTGAACTGCAAAACAACTTAATGGATCACCGTCCAACTGGGTTATAAATCCTATTTAAACAATTTTCTAATCCTAAAGCTATAAAATCCTTGAAGCATTCTCCTGACCGGGATTTTAAATGTTTCTGGTCTAAGAATTTTTTTATGGCAGTCATACATTTTCAGTATATGAATATATGTTTTCAGTGTGGCATAGGGGGTTTATCTTGTATAAGGAAGTTAGTTACCCAATGAGTTACTTCTCAGTGGTTTTGTTTCTAGCTGAGTTCTATTTGCTTCTGTTTCTTGTAATTTACAGGTTAGGATGACAGAGAAAACCAGATAACTCAAACTGTCAATATGTATGTACTGGTTTACCTGCCACCTGTTTTCACACAAAGCTTTACATACTCCTTGAATGGTTTAAGTTTTTAATACTGATCTGACAAGACTATTTCTATTTAAATGCTACACTTAAATACTCCCATTATTTGGAAAATACTTCAGAGGATTTGCTTAAAACTAAAAGTGAAAAAAGATCATTTCCAGCATGACATCATAGCCCACTAATACCAACAAAGGTTTTATATAGTAGTTTAGTGTTCATTTCCTAATAACAGCCCAGAGGCCAGGAAAAGCAAAAGGGAAGGGATTGAAGGACACTTACTTTGCTGTTCAGCCATGCCTTCCCCTCCTTTTCCAAAGTCTATCCAAATTAGATGTCTAACTAGATTCACACCTGAGCACCACCAAAGCATCATACTTGGGATTATCAAAATTGTAAGATACCACATTACAGAGGGTCAAGATGGAACTCGAGATCTGAGAAAGAACAGCCTTTTTCATTCAGCATGTCACTTTGAGCAAGTTACTTGATCTTACTAAACTTGTTTCTTCGTATGTATAATGTAATAGTCTATTTGAGGTGCGGGGAGAATGCTTAGCACAAGTGCTAATACCTTTAAGTACTCAGTAAATATCACATTACAGATGAAGTATTTTTAAGAAAATACAACTCAAGGATAAAGGCTCTTTTATAGCTCATACATGTACCAATTACTGTCATCAAGAGACCTCTCATAGATGACATATTGATGTGCCTAAGAGCCTTCAAGGAGATGCTGATTCTTGATAAAGGTAAGCCTAGTGGGCTAAAATGATCACTGTACAAGGAAAACATCCCCTGTTGTGCTCTTTAGATGGTAGGTGGTATATCTAAGCTATACATAGTAAGTGCTCCTACTGGGGATCAGATACTTAACTGCATATATGTTTTACAGGTCCTCTGGTTAAGATCTATATATTTTGTTAGACCAGTAATCATTTGTCTTCAGATCTCACATTTATTGGTATATCAATTTTTTTAATGGGTGACTCATTGTATTTGAGACAGATTGCATCTGGTGGTTCATTCCCAGAATGTCTGCAGTAGTCAGGGCTGGTCCAGGCTGAAGCTGGGAGGCTGGAATTCAATCTGGATCTCCCATGTCAGGGGTAGGGACCTAAGCACTTCAGCCTTCATCTGCCTCCCAGGGTGTGCATCACTAGGAAGCTGAATCAGAAGCAGAGTTAAAACACAAACCTAGGGACTACAATATGGAATCAATGAGCATCACAAGCAGAATCTTAACCATTGTGTTAAATGCCATCTCTCAGTTTTTAGTTTTGTTAATAGTGTTTAATTTTGGTTGTAACAAGACTTTGACTATATCCAAAAAAACATCAAAGGAATGATTCATAAAATGTTCGTATGTTTAAGGGGGTAGCTGAATACAATGAATACTTATTAAAAACCAGGACCTGGGCCCGTGCCGCGGCTCACTAGGCTAATCCTCCGCCTTGCGGCGCCAGCACACCAGGTTCTAGTCCAGTCGGGGCACTGGATTCTGTCCTGGTTGCCCCTCTTCCAGGCCAGCTCTTTGCTGTGGCCAGGGAGTGCAGTGGAGGGTGGCCCAAGTGCTTGGGCCCTGTACCCCATGGGAGACCAGGAGAAGTACCTGGCTCCTGCCATCGGATCAGCGTGGTGTGCCGGCCCCAGCGCGGCGGCCATTGGAGGGTGAACCAACAGCAAAGGAAGACCTTTGTCTCTGTCTCTCACTGTCCACTCTGCCTGTCAAAAAAAATAAAAAAAAAAATAAAAAAACCAGGACCTGTACTCTTCAAATCTTTATCATACCATCGTAGTTTTTAATGTGTGAAATCCGAATGCTGTCGGTGATAACTAAATGTTATACCTTTGTCAATTTCGTAGGTAAAAGTTATAGTTAAATTCACTTTTACAGTTCTGAGTACCTGGGCCAATTGTAAATCCCTACTTTATTGTGCTATGCTAATTCCGTCATTTCATGTGTAATTATGATTTTATTAACCTTCCATTAGACTGGGAGTCTCTTTGAGAAGGAACTGCCCTTTAGAGTACATAGAGGTACCAGATTATTTGCTAAATGAGTCATGAACAAGATTCCAATTCAGATGATGTGGTTCTGTCTATAATTCCTGGATATTCAGCTAAAGTCTGATTTAAAATTCTTAAAATTATACCAAAGATTCGATTTAGTTCTAGATGTTTTTTAAAAACTGTACCTGAGGTATTTTATTATAAAAAGTTGGTACTCATATACACATGCTAACATGAACTGAAAATTCATATATTTACTTCATTTTTTAGCTTGACCTTCTAGTAAATCTTTAGCTTCATTGATTTTGGCTGCTATATAAGGAGATCCTCCTAGAGGAAGAAAGAAAAAACAAAGTTAAAATATGTATTCTCAGTTTCTGCTTAGTAAAAGCCAATTTTTTAATTTCAAGATTCTAATGTTGATTTTTGAGATGAAATTAGCAGGAAAGATTTTTTTCTAGTAGTTATTACACTACAACTGGATGACCAAATATATGGTAATATAGTTGACCAATGTAAAATCAGGTAATTTAATGAGGGAGATTTCCACAAAAAATGGTACCATTTTGGAAAGATGAATAGAAATTCGATTTTAAAATGCTCTTACTATGTATTTATATGAAATAGTGGAAAGTGATTACAAGTTAACAGAATTTGAGCACTGGAACATGGACTTTGTGGTCTGTGTAGGTATTCAAAGAATCGATCTGCTTTCAGCACAGCTAAGGCTCCTAAGAAGTGTATTAGAAAAGAATCAATATCCCATACATCCCAAAGTATCTAATCAAAACAGAATCTGTGACTGCAGTTGCTGGAACTCACGTTTTATCGCAATTGTAGATCTCAAAATATTGTTACCTACTATTGCTACACTACAGTACTCAGATCTGTTCTTCATCCTGTAAGTAAATGTTTCATTCTGTTTGTTTCAGATGCCAAAAGTATCCAGTGTGGGAAGACACTGCTCACACAGATTTAGGTTTTTCCTTTATAACATCCAAGATTCAGTTACAAGGTTTGCTCATAAATTAAAATTATCACTCCAACAACATGTAAAAAGAGTTTAATGACTACTAACCTTTGTCTGGGTGATTTAAGAGCATAATTCGTCGATGTGCATCTCTTATTTTTCCTTTATTGGCAGTAGGGCTAATTAAAAAAGGAAAAGGTATCACTTCAGGTTACTAATGGATCAATAAAAAAATCATACATAAAGGCCAATTAAAGATTTGAGAATAGCAAGCACAATAGTATGAAAAGTAGTTTAGGAACCTCTTAACACTTAATGGAAAATGCATATTCTGAATCACAAAACTATGTAAGTAAAGGGGTTCTCAAAAATATTGCTTGTAATAGTGTCCTCCTAATGCACACCCTTGAAGATAGTAGGTGATGGCTCAAGGTCTTGGGTCCCTGCAACTCAAATGGGAGATAAGACATTCAGTGGGTTCCTCGCTGTTGTAGGCCTTTGGAGAGTGAACCACCAGAAGGAAGTGCTCTGTCTGATGCATGCTCTCATGGTTTTTCAAATGAAAATTTCAATTTGAAAATATTACACTAGTCCTTTTATTGAAAAAGCATGTTTGAGTATTTGTAAATGAAGGCAGGATTTCACCACAGAAAACATCTTACCCAGTTACAGAGAACACTGAGCACTGATAAATCTGTTGAGAAGTTTCAATGAATAAAAAAGCACTTCTGTACTCTATTATAGAGTTTTAGATCTTGGGAACGTACAGGGGAGGGAGGAGCAGAAAGGCTCCATTAAGTAGAATTGATAACATTAATCTTGGGACAAAATCCCCAAATACCTCCTTCCTCATAAAAGGAAAAGTCTCTTACATTTCCTCATAGCCCTAGAATTATAGAATAATATTAGGAATTATTTTACCTTACGCCTAGTATTAACGCTGCTTCTCGTTTTGTCATTTTGGGTTCAAATCCACCTCTGTAATAACCGCCACTGAAGGCCTGAAAGAGGAAATATTATCTCTAAGGAAAGTATTAGAATAAACAGAGTTGGTACTAAAGAAGTCTAAGTATTGACAGATTCAGATTCACTGGAAAAATTAAAATACCAGCAGAGAAATTTAAGTGCAATTCCCATGGCACTCTTAGCTTTAAAAGCTGCCATAAATACTATTCTAATGATAATTAAACATTTCTTTCCTAGCCATTATAAACTGTCTTGATACAAGATCCTAAAGCTGGTTCTTTCAGGAATGAAGGGAAGCTCATTCCCAGTTAGTCATATCCTAGCTAAAAATATGATCTCATGATAATACTATTCAGAACCAGAGTGCTTCAAGAAGAGGATTTGGAGGAATTTTGAGACAAGCATGTTCAAGGGCACTTGGAAATTCAAGGCGACCACTACAACATGATTTCCTCCCACATCCCCTGATGTGCCTTTCTGTCACATTTAATAAAGATATTCAGGCTGTTACAGCCAAATTCATTCTTTGACCGCACAAGTATGATCACCTCTAGTTATCCAACAGCCTAACTGCAGCATTACCTTTGACAGGGCCAGGGCTGTGCAGTAAGAACAGATCTTGCATCCCTCCACTTGTGATAACAGCATAAATGTTGAAGTTAGCATGTGAACAGTGAAGTAATTTTCACAATACTAGAATTGTCCCCTGCCACCCCTAACTGCATCACATACAACTTTTTTAGGATAATACCATTACAATGTTCAAAACTTATATACCTTCTGTAGGAAGCGATCACTCAGAACTTTGTAGATATGTGGAAATTTACCCTTAAGTGTGGACTAGATTTCAAACACAGCAAAGCTAGCAAAAATGTTTAGTAAGTCTTACAGATTTTGGTAGACTTTGAAAAACTTGCTTTACTTGAGGCTCCATATGCTTCATGGCTTGCAACACATAACGGCCTAAAACCAAAAGCAATAAAATAAATAAATAAATTCCCAATTTCCCTTATTTCACTTCCATCCCCAAAGCATAAACAAACCTGCAAATCCTGCAGCAGCAATGGTCAATCCAACCGCTACCACTGTACTGGCCTGGTAAAGGGAAAAAGTAAATATTTACTACTAAAATTCCCACCCTTCCTTAGGCTCTTTCTGTAACCCAACTCATTGCACAAGTTTCCTCTCAAAAGGAGAAACAACTTCTAAGGTGCCTAATGATCCTTTGAAGTTACTTCAACTTTTATATGCAGTACCCTGTAAAGGTGTGGAATTTCCACTATGGAAGAAGAGGGCAAGATGATTTGCTTTATTTACTTATACAATGGCTGAAAGGGATGATTCTCTCCCTTTGATAACTGCTTTTTCCCTCCAGCGAAGGAAGTCACATTAACATTCAAGAGCAGTGGAAATAAGGTTTCTGCTAAAGGAACAGACATTTCCTGCAGAATTCTGAGTCGTTTTCAATTCTAACTAGGAAACCAGCTTTACAGAGCACCTTCCTCTCTGTCCTGCCAACTGTCCTGTCGTCTCCTAAGAAAAGGATAAAGGTCAAAATATGTTCAGAAAACAGGGATTTGACATCTGTCTCAGCAAAAGCCAAATGCAAAGAACACAACAAAATTGAGCAAATCCTGTGAGGATGTGCTAGGGGAAGGGCACATACACTCAAATGCATTCCAACTAACGTCGAAGTCAGGGCCAGCCTCCGACCTTGCAAGAATTCAAGGAAAGCAATGCCTTTGTGCCCGGAGCCCGAGGGCAGCGGACAAGGGCTAAAACCCTCTTTGGAAGGATTACAAGAATGCAAAAACCCAAGAGGCGCGAGCCAACAGCTCTGTACCCCGGTGGCTACGATGCCCTGGGGACCTAAACCTCTCGCCCAGAGGCGCACACTCTACTCCTCTGGGGCCGGGTGCTAAGGTTGGGCCGAGGCGGGAGGTCTTCCGGGAGACTAGAAGGTTGCACTCACCATGGCTCGGGCTCAGCTCCCCTTCCTTCACTGGGAGCTCGGTACATCCCAGCCCAGAGGCCGCGGCCACCACCCAGACTCCTTTACCCGAAAGCGAGGAGCCACCAGCTACATGCACAATAAGCCCAAGCACAGACTTCCCGTGGAATACGGCAGCAAGTGGTCGCAAAGTAGGCCGGGAAAATTGTCGTAAAAGACGTAAAAGGACCAGCGGAGATGGAGGTAAGGTCGCTCAAGCAGTGGGCGGGCAAAGACTGCGATTTCGGGTTGGTTGAAGGGTGGGCGGATCGCCTGGTCCTTGAGTGTAGGGGTGGGGCTTCTCTGTGTCTTGCCCTTTGCTCCAGGCTGTGGCTATTTGGAAGTTCTTGCTGGGAAGGACACGGATAGATTCAGTGCAACCTTACTTAAAACGATTTTCTTTTCTTACCTCCTAGCGCCTCGCTTGGCCACTTAAGATTATTTTGCTTGCAAGTGTCAAGGGTAGTGAATATAGTTAAATATACTGTGACAGATTTCCACCATGAAACCGAGCAAGTACTCGTACCATAGCAACTCACTGTAGTAAACCAGAAAACATCGCAGAAAGCCAAACGAACAAACGACACATTTCAGGGGGTGTCGATGACATCCTTTTATTTAAAAGAACTTTATTTAAAGGTGCGACTTGATAGGGCTTTCTGCTAATTACCACTTCATAGTTAATATTCTGTTTAAGGAGTTGTTAAATCCTACAACGGAATATTGGTACTTAAAATTTCTTTCCTTCCCCCTAAAATAGAAAGTAGATGTTTGATTTTTGTTCTTAACAGAGCAACATTTTCAAATAATTTTTATATAAATGCTTGAGAAGAAAAACATAAAGGAGGCAATAATGAAAGTTTGACAGTGCAGTATTTGTATAATTAAAATAAATTTAGAGTTCACAAAGTATCAAAAATCTGTAGTGCAGTTCTGCTTGAATGAATTGGTTGTTTTTTTTTTTTTTGACAAATATAAAAATTTATTGGCTTTCTTTTCTTCATCTATAAAAGCAGTTTATATTTGGACCTTCAAGAGTTCTTCTAACCTTAAGACTTTTGTGATGTTATTTGTTCTCAACACATGATTTAAAGTGATATCCAGCACTAGGACAGTAGCCTTAAATGTATATATCTTTCTCAAATGTTTGGAAATCTATTTAGTTCATGACCCACTAATTGGTGATGACTTGAAGTTTGGAAAGCATTACTGGACAAAAAGCCACACTTGGAAATATGATGCTAGGCAAATAAGCATTCCCTACCACTATCACCACTGAAAGTTATATGCCAGAAATTGTACAAAATGCTTTATGTAGTTTATTTCATTTTACTCCATTACGGTAGTATTTATTTTTGTTTTGCAGATGAAATATTTTGTCAACACATTTTATTTCCCCTCTAAATCCTCTATCTACCTTCTTCTTCCCTGTTATGTGCACCTTAGGGGTACAAGAGGTTAGAAGGCTGACCTTAATGGTCTGCATCAGAGAGCTCTCTTATATTGTGGCTTGTGTTCGGTTAGGTCTATGAGCAATAGATCAGAAGGCAGAAGGAAAGTGGGTTCATAATCTTTATTTCTCCATTTCTCTGACTGATGGTTGCCATAGGATCAATTTGTCCACTGAAGAATACAGCTTCTGCATATGTGTACGTTCTGGGAATTGCTGCCACCTCTTGCTCCTTCAGTCTAACAGTAGTAACGAGTTTATTGAACCCTGCTTGCCTTGCTAGATACAGAGCATTTGACCATTGTTCATCAGTTTCCCTTAATGCTGCCCACACCTTTGTACACAGTCCATTTGTTAAATTTTCTGTTTGGCTGTGATCTGGTTTTGTCCTCCAATCCCCCAAATTGATATATTGAAACCTAATTGCCAATGTGATGGTATTAGAAGATGGTGCCTTGGGTGCAATCATGTTATGAAGGCAGAGCCATTATGAATGTGATTAATACTCTCATAAAATAGGCCCCACTGGCACTGTGGTGTAGCGGGTAAAGCTGCCGCCTGCAGTGTCGGCATCCCCTGTGGGCACCAGTTTGAGCCCTGGCTGCTCCACTTCTGATCCAGCTCTCTATTATGGCCTGGGAAAGCAGTAGAAGATGGCCCAAGTCCTTGGGCCCCTGCACCCGCTTGGGAGACACAGAAGAAACTCCTGGCTCCTGGCTCCTGATCAGCCCAGCTCCAGCTGTTGTAGCCATTTGGGGAATGAACCAGCAGATGGAAGACCTCTCTCTCTTCCTTTGCCTCTCTGTGACTCTGCCTTTCCAATAAATAAATAAATAAATCTTAAAAAAAGAGGCCCCAGAGAAAATCTTTTCTAACACACGAGGACACAATGAGAATGCATTATCCCCGAGTCAGACGTAGAATCTGCCTTGATCCCAGAGTGAGGAAACAAGCCTTTACTAGATACTAAATCTGCCAGCACCTTGATCTTGGAATTTCCCAGCATCCAGAACTATGAAAAATAAATTTCTTCTGTTTATATGTCACCCACTCTATAGAATTTTGTTGTAGCAACCCAAACAGACTAAGGTACTGCACCATCTGTTTCCAATAGGGATGATTATTTTTCTAAGAGGACCCTGCAATAATAAAGTGAGAGATGATGGTACCAGTGGAGATAAAGTAACTGGATTCCTGCATATATTTTGAAGATGTGGCTTATGGAGTTTGCTGATGGGTTTGATCCAGTGGGTGAGAGAAAGAAAGGAGTCAATAGTGATTCCAAAGCTGTAGTCCTGAGCAGGAGAAAGGATGGAGTTGCCACTTAGTAGAACTAGAAAGACTTCCAGAAGAGTAAGCTGAGAACAAATGGTTTTTGTTATAATAAGCTCCCAGCTAGATATCCTAGTGGTGTTGTCAGGTAGACAGTTGAATCTACAAGTCTGATGTCAAGACAGAGATCTTATTCCTTAAACTTATGAGTAAAGACAAGATCTTGGGATCATCAGCCCATGGACAGTCTTCAAGACCATCTAACAAATGAAGTCATCCATTGCATGTGTGGAGTGAAAAAGAAGAGGAATGAAGATCTCTTTTAGGATACTTCTGTGTTTGGAATTTGAGAAGGTAGCGAAAAGCTGGAAAATTAGCCTGAAAATGCATGGACAGAAACCAGATGAATGTGTTGTCCTGGAAGTCAAGTGAAGAAAGTGTTCAGTGGAGGAAGGAGTGATTTAACTGTGTCAATTGCTGCTAATAGTCAAATAAATGAACAACTGCAAATTGACTGCTGGAAATCATTGGTAATATGGATGTGAAAAATTTTTGTGGCATTATAGTATAAAAGTCTGATTAGAATCTGCTCAAGAGAGCACAGGAGGAAAAAGTGGAGATATAGATTGTAAAATATGCCTTTAAAGAAATTGTGAGAGAAGTGGAATTAGAGAAATGGCAGTATGTAGATGAGAAAGCAGTATAAAAAGAGTTTTTTTTAGTTTTTGTAAAAAAGATTTATTTATTTATTTGAAAGCCAGAGTTAAATAGAGGCAGAGGCAGAGAGAGAGGGAAAGAGAGAGAGAGAGAAGAGAGAGAGGTCTTCCATCTACTGGTTCACTCTCTAGACAGCTGCAAGGGCCAGAGCTGCACTGATACAAAGCCAAGAGCCAGGAGTTTCTTTGGGTCTCCCACATGGGTACAGGGACCCAAGGGCTTGGGCCATCTTTTGCTGCTTTCACAGGCCACACCAGAGAGCTCGATCAGAAGTGGAGTAACCAGGACTTGAACCAGACCCATAAGGGATGCTGGCTCTACAGGCAGAGGCTTTACCCACTATGCCACAGCACTGGCCCCTAGTTTGTTTTTTAAATGGAAGAAATAACTTCCTGTTTACATGCTATGGATATGCTTCTATAAAGGGAAAAATTCGACAAAAAGAAAATGAAGACACCAATCTTTCCCTTAGTAGACTTGTTTTAGAAATGATGAAACTAGGGGTGGGCGTTGTGACGCATAGCATACTGGAGTGATGGTTTGAGTCCCAGCCGCTCCACTTCCCATCCGGTTCCCTGCTAATGCTCCTGGGAAGGCAGCAGAAGACGGCCCAAGTACTTGGGCCCCTACCACCCAAGTGGGAGATCCAGATGGAGCTTCCACTTGGTCCTGCCTTTGCCCTCGCCCTCACCCTCACCCTCTCCCAGAAATAAATAATCTTTAAAAAGAAATGAGAAAAATGGGCCTCAGAGTGGTTGACTGAATTTTCTAACGTCCTAATAATCACTTACCTATATTGTTTGTTTTCCAGATATGTATAAGATTGAAATCATAAAATGAGACAGTTTTAGAATTGCCTTTACCTCTGTTTTCTTACCACAGGCAGAGTGGACAGTGAGAGAGAGGAGAGAGAGACAGAGAGAAAGGTCTTCCTTTGCCGTTGGTTCACCCTCCAATGGCCGCCACGGCCGGCGCGCTGCAGCCGGCGCACCGCGCTGATCCGATGGCAGGAGCCAGGAGCCAGGTGCTTTTCCTGGTCTCCCATGGGGTGCAGGGCCCAAGCACCTGGGCCATCCTCCACTGCACTCCCTGGCCACAGCAGAGGGCTGGCTTGGAAGAGGGGCAACCGGGACAGAATCCGTCGCCCCGACCGGGACTAGAACCCGGTGTGCCGGCGCCGCTAGGCGGAGGATTAGCCTAGTGAGCCGCGGCGCCGGCCTCTTAACATTGTTTTTAAAGCTCATTGCAGATCTGGATTTATGAACTCTAACTTCCTAAACTAAAAACCATTAAGCACAGGAACCTTTTTTTTTTATTTTAAGATTTGTTAATTTTTTTTTGAAAGAGTGACACAGAGAACTTTACTCTTCCAGTTCATTCACCAAATTCTAACAACAACCAGAGCTAGGCCAAGCTGAAGCAAGGATCCTGGAACTCCATCTGGGTCTCCCACATGGGTGGTAGGGGCCGAAGCACTTGAGCCATTATCTGCTACCTACCAAGTGTATTAGCAGAAAGCTGTATCAAAAGCATGGAAGAGCTAGGACTGGAACCAGCACTCTGATAAGAAATGTGAGAATCTCAAGTTGTGGCTTAACCTGCTGTGCTACAACTCCCACCTCCCAGGGAATTTTTTGTAGGTATCTACTCACATAATGCTATACGTAAAAGCTCTTTACTTAAACATAAATG